TTTCTTTTTTGACCTGTGGTTTTGCTATGTAGCTTAGACTGGCCTAGAACTCGTTATGTAACCCAGGCTGTTCTCAGATTTACAGTCTTCCTGCTTTAGCCTTTTAAGTGTTGCGATTACATGTCTGCACTGCCGCATCAGGTTCATAAATTATTTTCAAGAAATTATTTATATTGCTACAGTACCAAGTTTATCTTGGCAGCTTTGATCTCTTGGGCCTTCTTCTATTCTGTTTTCTTCCCCTTCTGTCCCTTGTATCCTCTCTCCCTCTCTTCTCTTTGCATGTCTTCTCAGGAATCCTGGGACTTAAGTTTTTCCTTTTAAGAGATTATCTTCAGTACTCCAGAGGAGGAGTAGGGGAATGTCTGGGAATTCAAGGCCAGCCTGGACTGCATGGTTAGACCCTGTCTCAAAAAACCCAAATCCATAAATATTACAAAATGAAAGCGATTACAATTATGTTGGCTTATTTAAATTCTGTTCCATGCTTGAAGATTTAGAACAGAAGACAGTTTTATCTCTTGCTTTTTCTTAATGCTGTATTATCTCTTGGGAAGCTTGACTCTATTCTATAGTGATCTGTTTTTGCAGATTTGAAGGGTAGAAATAAATGGAAGTAGGACATCATAATTAAGAAAATCATTATTTTTTCAAAAAACTGTGATTAATAAAACTATGTCTGTCTATTAACATGCCACTTAGGTTGTTCAGTGAATGTGGGTAAATGAGATATAGTTTTGAAACAGAATCATTCTGTAGAGTGATCTGTTTTTCTGAAAGATAAATTGAAGTATAAAACCCCTTTTAAAGAACGAGGCCTGTTTTTGTAATCTCAATGTTTTCCTGTACCCAGTTGCTCTCAAAGTATTGTCATCAGACCTACAATGTCTGCAGCACCTGGATATGTGTACAGATTAACCTGCCTATCTCAGACCTTTAGATGGTTCTGATATGGCAGTTTGAGGACCATAGCTATAGAGCAACAATTAGATTGTCTTGTTAGTTGTTTGGAGTAATGGTATATAGACCTGACTTTATATTGCAAATGGTAAAATTCAATTTAAAGTAGCCTGGAAAAACGTTATAAAAGAGGCTCCCTTAGGTGTACTGGTAAGTTAGTGATTGGGGTATCTCACTGATTCAGTGCACCAGTTATAAAGGATGAGAGACCCTGTGGCTAGAAATACTTGATTCTATGATGTTACTTTGCCTTTAGTTGAAGGTTGGATACATCCTTCAGAACTAGGAAAAATAGTCATAGATCTGACCCAAGTTCACGTGTGAGTTAAACAATTCCATGAAGACCTGCTTTCTCCCATTCACAAGCCCATTCCTTATGTTCATGAGGATGAAGGTCAGTGCTCTGGGTTCTGTGTCTGTTTCTAGGAAGAAGGAGAATGGGCAGGCATGCCACTAGCACAGTGTAGATCACTACTTCATATCTTAGTTGGTTTGCCTTAGACTTACGCTCTCAGGCATCTGGAAAATAGATAGGTGACAAGTGGTCAGTGTGTAAAGCACTCGCCACACAGCCCTGAGGACCTGAGGTGAAGCCTGGGATCCTTGTAAAGGTTGAAAGACAGAACTGATTACACAAAGTTGTCCTCGGACCGCCACATGTGTGCACTCCTGCACATGCACATATATACATACAATAACAAAATATGCAGAGGTGTATGGAAAAGTTGCCTAATGTTTCCTACATCCTCATTAATTTCTTCTGCATATCTTCTTTCATAGTTTCAGCTATGTTATATTGTTAGTTTTTTTTTCCTTTTTTGCTTGAGACACTTTCTCTTTATAACACAGGCTAGATTTGAACTGCTGATTTTTCTACTTTAGCCTCTTAAGTGCTGGGATTACAAATGTACAAGTTTGAACATGTTTTTGTTAAGCATAGTTTCTTATTTTGAATTTCCCATTTACCTATTGACATCTTTTTAGTCTGGACTCCTTAGTAGAGTTTTAAAAAAGGCATTTTGACAGATGTTTTCTCTCTCCTTTCTCCACCCCCCCCCCCTGTGTGTGTGTGTGTGTGTGTGTGTGTGTGGTGTGTCGTCAGCACGTGTGTGCTTATAAAGGCAAGAGTGTATAAAGGTCGAGGATAACCCCAAGTGTCAGTTTTCACCTTCCACCTTTCTTGTAACCTGACCTCTGTTTGCTATTGCATATACAGACTAGCTACTCTATAAATTCTCTGGGATTCTCCTGTTTTTGTATCCGTATCCTATCTCAGCGCAGGAGCACTGGGATTACAGGTGCCAGTTTTGGGGAATTGTTTCCCCAGCCTTGTTTTCTGGTATTTAAAAAACAAGTGAGAGTGTGCACGCATGCACGTGCTTGTGAGTACAGGTACCTGGGGTGGCCAGAGAATTCAGATTCTGCTCTTACAGAGAACCTGAATTCAGTTTCAGCACCCATACTGAGAACCTTATAGCTGCCTGTAACTCCAGCTCCGGTACATACTCGAAACACCTGTGCCATCCCTCTAGCCCCTATTTACTGTGACTGGTCTCACTATGTAGACAGGGATGGCCTTGAACTCATAGAGCTCTGCCTGCCCCTGCACCACCACACTTAGCTCCTTTTCATATTTTCTCCTATTACTAGTGCTTTGAAATTTTATATAGATGCTGTAGTTATTAAAAGTATAGTTGTTCGGGCTGGAGAGATGACTCAGGACTGTAGAGTATTTCCAGAGACACTGGTGTTTGAGGCTCAGCTGTAAATTCTAGTTTCCCGTGGTGTGATGCCCTCTTCTCGCCTCTGCAGGCACTGCACACAGGTGGTACACAGATACAGGCAAAAGACCTGTATACATACAATAAAAATAAGAGGGGTAGGGCCTGGAGAAATGATGACTCAGCAATTTATTGCATTTGATATATATATATATATTGCAATATATATATTGCATTTGATACTCTTACAGGGGTCTAGGGTTTGATTCCCAGCATCCACGTGATGGCTCAGAATCATCCATAAATCCAGTTTTAAGGACTCCCAACACCTTCTTCTGGCCTCTGAGGGAACCATGTGCACTATATACATGCAGGGGAAAACACTCATACACTTAAATGGAAAAATTCGGAAGAAAATGCCATTTTAAAACTGCTTTTTAGTTATTTCTGTAAGCTAATGGTTCTTGATTTATTGTGAGGTTTAACAACAATGGCAGGGAACAAAGAACCTTTAATAACACTTTATTTTATTAATGAAAAAGATCTTATATGATCTAAACTTTATCATGAGTTAAAAAATTATACAGTACTTATGATTAGCCTTCTGTTAATATAATCAAAGTGTGTGTAATTTTTTTTCTGGAAAAGGCGTTTACTCATTAAGAAAATTATGGCAGAAATCTGATTAAATACAGAAAATTCTAGACTCTTCAGGCAGCCTGGTGTTTTGAAAAAGCCTTGTGCTTTGGCAGGAGCCCAAGAGAGGAAGTGCTTGCATCTGCTACATTCTAGAAGCTTTCCCCAGATCACTGTAAGGCAGCCAAGAAAACTACATTTCACTACTGTGTGGTTCTGGAAGGATCTGGCAATTTGTAGCAAACTTGAGGGAGGAGATATAGGAGTTCTTCCAGGATGCCATTTTATTGTGGTGATCTGTTTTTATTGGGTTTAACTTAAGGGTGAAGGTGAAGGTACTTTTCAGCTTTTATTAAATAGGGGGTTTCAGTTAGGCCTCTGAAAAGCCTATTGGTTTAGACAGATTCACATAGGAAAGATCGGAGAAATGCCGACAAGAATTAGGTTGGCAAGTCAGCCTAGTCAATGAGATCCTGCTTCTGAAGCAAGTCGTACTGTAGTGGTGCCACGCTGCTGTGTAAAGCAGTGAGAAGCCCATGAGAAGGTGGAAGGGTGCTAGGGCAGTTGGTGAAAGCCAGGCAGAGCTTTTCAGTGGTTACTTAATACCCCCTTTATCACGAGCAGTCCTCACTAGAAAAGACTGCTCCCAGGGACAGCGGAGAAGGACAGAAGGCAGGGGTGGCAGGAGGCTCTGTGGTTAAAGGACTGTGAGGGCCAGAGTCCAGACCCCCAGAATGCAGGCATTATGTCACGTGGTGTGAGAGTCTGCCTGTGATTCCAGCCTTAGATGGCAAAGACCTGATCCCTAGAGCAAGCTGGCCACAGACTAACTGTGTGACTGAGCTCTGGGTTTAGTTGAAAGAACCTGCCTCAATGAATAATGTAGAAGGGTGGTTAGGGAGGTTCCAGATGTCAGCTTCAGATGGTGCATGCACGCACCATGTGCACCACACACAAAGGAATGGAAAAAGAGAAAAGGCGGTGCACTTTTCTACAAGGTTGAAATTAGGGGAAAATCACAGCAGTGTACTAACTAGGCTTAAGAGTTTTTGTTTCTTTAAACATAGAACATAGTAGTAAGAGAAGTTAGCCCGTCTTAAGAACAGAAACAGAGTGCGTTACATGATAGCCAGTGCTGGGGAGGGGTGGGGGGAATGGCTAAAGAGCTCTGAATATTTTTTCTTTTAAGCCATTTCTGACATTTTAAAAATATATTGGTGATGTTTAAAGTATATTTTTGTTGTGAAAATGTTTTATATCTAGCTCAAAGGGAAAAGTATTTTTTATGCTATATAAAAAAGCCTCAGCTGTTAAGAACACTTTTTGCTTTTCCAGAGGATCTGAGTTCTGTTCCCAGCATCCATATCTGTTGGCTTACAACTGCCTGTAACTTCAGTTCTGGGGTTCTAGGGTGTCTGATTCCTCTGACCTGCAAGGACACCTATACTTGTGTGCATAACTACACAATGTGTACACATATAATTAAGAATAATAAATCTTAAAAAAACCACAGCTCTTAGTTGCTCTACTTATAATAGTAACAGGAAAACAAATGGGTTGAAGTTTTTCTCTTGTATGGAGCATCTAACTCTGCTAAGATCATAAATCAACTGTTATTAAATTGATTTATAAAAATCACCATCAATTCTAGCCTGGAAACTAACTGCTGTGCTCTTTTTATAGGTGTGTGAACCCATGAAGTCTTCCAAGATGATCTGGTGTGTTTTAATGATAGGGATTCTGCTTCCTCAGTCTTCGGCCCATCCAGGCTTCTTTACTTCAATTGGTAAGTCTTTACTATTTATAACTTACTGGGTTTTACATTTTAGAATTTACCTTCTTTTGTAGTTTTAAATAGAAAAAAACAAATGCATTATATTCCTGAAGACTGACCTTGGTTTACAAACCCTTTACCTATCTAAACAGGCAGTTTAAAAAATCAGTTATGTCTGTCTGCTTTTCTTCTTTCCAATTTTTTAAAACAATGTTTTATTGGGTACACTAAAGACTGCGGTGCCTGGGCAGTAACTAGAGTACTGCCTGACTTGGTTTCCTTTAAATTAATTCTTCTTGATTACAAAAGTGAAATGTTTTATGCTTAAAAACTTAGGAAAGACATACCAAAGAGTTATTGATAGTTAGGTGTGGCAGCATGTGACTTTAATACCAATACTGGGTGGAGGCAGAGGCAGGTGGATCTCTGTGAGTGAGTTTGAAGCCAAGCCTGATCTACATACTGACATCCAGGCCAGCCAAGGCTACATAGTGAGACCCTGTTTCAAAACACAAAACAAAAAAGAAAGCAATAATGTCCACACACAATTAATTCAGATACATGCCATTTTAATGCACAGATATACAGTTATTCTGCACATTACTTTCTTTTTTATTTTTTTAGAATTTTTGAGATAGGGTTTTTCTGTATAGTCCTGGCTGTCCTGTAACTCACTTTGTAGATCAAGCTGGCCTTGAAGTCACAGACGCGTCTGCCTCTGCCTCCCAAGTGCCAGGACTAAAGGTGTGTGCCACAACCCCTGGCCTGCACATTACTTTCTAACCTGTTTTTACTTCACTTAAATATGTTATTTTTTTCACATCATAATTTTGAAAAATACTATAAAAGTAGTGTGTGGAAGGTGGGCAGTGATGGTACATTCCTTTAACCCCAGCACTTGGGAGGCAGAGGCAGGTGAGTTCAAAGCTAGCATAATCTACACAGATCGTGTTCCAGAACAGCCCGGAGCTACACAGAGAAACCTTGTGCCAAACAAAGAAAGTATGTAGGATTAAAGTGGGTTCTCTGTGGGGTGGGACTCTAACAGAGCAAGTACATAGATGGTAAAGAGCTCCCGTTCTTCCTTGTTCTCAGAACAGACCTGAAAGTTTGAGCTGTGTCTGTCTATAATTTCCTCTCTATATACTTCATGTGTATAATGAAATGTTAAGTGAGATGTTTCCCTTCTTTCTATTGACCATTTTGACCCTTTTAAAATTGTAGAACTAAAACAGGAGTGTAGGCATTTCTAACTTGATTTCAGTATATAAAATGAGGAGCCCTCTTAATCTTTAAAAAGAAATTTTAAAACATTTTTGCAACTTTTTCAAGTGTGGTTTGTGTTTTGTTTTTTTAATCAAAAATTTGATCCTGACTAGTCTTGAACACAAAAGATGAAGTATAAAAGCAGAGACAGTAAAGAAAAAACAGTAATTCTTAGTAAGTAGTGTTATTTGTTAATTTAAGTTTGTAAATGAAAACACCATTTCCCAAAATAGTCTAAGTTGACAAAATTTATTAGTTACAAAAGCTAGAACTAGAAGTCATGATTAGAATTTTATTTGGATTAATTTGGTTTAGTTGGTAAGAAAAGGAAAAGGAGGGAAAATGATCTTTTACAGCATATCTGTTCCATTCCAGTTAAATCCTCCTGTAACTAAAAGATTTATATTGATGAATATTTAATAACCTTTCTCTTCCCATGTAGGTCAGATGACTGATTTGATCCATACTGAGAGAGATCTGGTGACATCCCTAAAGGATTACATTAAAGCAGAAGAGGACAAGTTAGAACAGATAAAGAAGTAAGTGTGTTTCCTTACAATAGCTCCAACTCCACCTGAATGCTTTCTCTTCTGCACTAAGAGAAGTAAGTGGAAATGGAAGTCAGTTAAAATGTCCAAAGCAATGAGCACAGGAAAATGGGTTAATCTGGGTTGGGTTCATGTGTGTCAGCTTTGTGTTAGGTAGAGGTCAAAGGTTGACATTAGTTGCTTTGCTTTATTGCTATCTACTTGTTTTTTAAGGCAGGCTCTCTTAACTGAACCTGGTAAGGCTAGTTGGCCAGTTAATTTCAGGGACTTTCCTCTTTCCACCTCCCCAGCACTAGAATTGCAGGCACACACCACTGTCTGTGTGGGTGTTGGTTCTGAACTCAAGCGCCCATCCTTATGTAACGAGCACTTTCCCACCTGAGCCATCTCCATAGTCCCTACTTAGCTTTTTCACTACTGTGGCAAAGTAACTTGACAAAAATTAGTTGGGGAAAATATTTACTTTGTCTCACAGTTCAGATGTCCTAGTTTCATTCCATTAAAACAGAGCAGCTCACATAATGGCAGTAGAGATCAGAAACAGAGAATGGAGGGGATAGCAGGCTCCCTCCTTCCCTGGCCTGTGTTGATGCTGCACACATCAGGGTATGTCTTTCCTACCTATTTTTTTCTGGAAACACCTCACAGATAAACCCAAAGCTATCCTTTAAGAGTTACTTCTCAATCTATTTAATCAATCTAATGGTATTGACAGTCCAGATTAACCATCACAGTGAGAAAGAATATGGGTGGATGAAGATGTAGGTGTTCCAAAAAAGTCACCTGCTGGAGTAGTTTTTCAGTTCTACTCCTGGGATTCCATCATAGAGCTTACAGTGATAAGCATGATTAATGTTATGTTTTATATGTGTTTGGGGGGGTGTATAGTGGTTTTTCTACATTAATTTTATTGACACAAATTTATAGTTAATCCTGACCTGAGAATTTGTGTTTTGTTTATGAATGTCTTAAATTGATATTTTGGGGTGTGTGTGTGTGTGTGTGTGTGTGTGTGTGTGTGTTTGTGTGTGTGTGTGTGTGTTTTGAGACAGTCTCATTGTGTAGCACTGGCTGACTGAAACTCACTGAGATTGACCTGCTTCTGTCTGTTGAGTGCTGGGATTAAAGGTGTGCACCTGGCTGATGTTTCTGCTTTAAAACTTGTTTTCTACATAGAGTTTAAAGATTTGCCACAAATTAGCCAAACATGGTTGCACACACATATAATTTCAACATTTAAGAGGGAGGGGCAGGAGGATCACAATGAAGGCCAATCTAGATGGCATAATACAATAAAGCAAAGCAATAATAATAATGATGATTAATAACAACAACAACAATAATAATGATGATGATGATGATAATAATAATAATAAAAAATTAGCATGAGTTCGGCTAGGCTCAGTGGCATGTACCAGTACTCACTGCCACCGCAGGGGATGAAGCAGGGAAATCTCTTGAGTCCAGAAGTTCAAGACTAGCCTTAGTGGCAGCATAGTGAGACCCAGTATTTTTTTAAAAGGAAAAAATTGTGTAAGGGGCTAGAAAGATGACTCAGCAGTTAAGGGCACTGGCCACTGTCTGAGTGGATTCAGGTTCAATTCCTGGCACCCACAAGGTGGCTCACAACTGTCTGTAACGCCAATCCCAGATCTGATATCCTCTCTGGCCTCCTCAGGTACCAGGCATGCACATGGTAAGCATATTTTCATGTAGGCAACTTAGGGTCTATGTTGCTTTAAATGCATACTTAACAGAATTTAGACAGGGCCATTTTATTTTTATTATAATAATAATTTTAGCCTCTTGGAACTTAGGAGGAAATGAAAGTTGTGTATTTTTGATTCTATAAGATTTTGTGTTTTAGAGTCTTCATAATTTTACTTTAAAAAGAAATTATAGATAGTATCTTTAAATAAACTTAAAATTAGTTACTTTTCCCAAGTTCTTTACTTGCGTGTGATTTTTCTTTGATACACTCTTTTTCAGGAGGTTGGGAGGGACTTGCTAGATCATGCTTGCCTTGAATTCACAGGGATCCACTTGCCTCTGCCTCCTGAGTGCTGGGATTAAAAGCATGTGCCAGATTTGGGTGGGTGCGGAAATGAAGAGGAGTTGGGAGAGGGGAAACTAATCTGAATATATTGTATGGATAAAAATCCATTTTCAGGAACAAAAAAAGCATGTGCCACCATGCCAGGTTTAGTACACTACTTTTATGTCTTACAGATGGGCAGAGAAGTTAGACCGACTAACCAGTACAGCAGCAAAAGACCCAGAAGGGTTTGTTGGGCATCCTGTAAATGCATTCAAATTAATGAAGCGTCTGAACACTGAATGGAGTGAGTTGGAGAATCTGATCCTCAAGGATATGTCAGATGGTGAGTTTACAGAGACTTCAGAACCCAAAACCAACTCATTCCTAGTATAGCAGAGGTTTATGTTATAATTGAATTATTGCATGTATGTTTGGTTTGACTAGAGATAGTTGAAATCTGGAGCATTTTATTAAAAAAATAGTAACTTCTAGTGTTGACAGAATGGGTGATTTTTGCCTTTTGATCTACAGAAGTGATTAGATTATTTGGAGTAGAACTTCATTTCTAAGGGTAAAAACGTTGGGAATTGAGTTACAAAGAAGAGTTTTAGCTGTGTTCTACCTAGTATTTTGTGTTTGGGGTTATTTTACTTATCGTAGGCAATAAATAAAAGAACCTAGAGACCTTATTCTCAAAAATCTTTGTACACAAAATAATAAAATTGTAGTTGGAGTGTTGATATTCTGGTGAAAAAAACCAAAACCAGGCCTGAATTTAATGAGGTAAAGGGATTTTGTAGTGTACATTAGAAGTTCAACTGTTCGAATACATTACTGATACAAAAAAGAGAAAGAAAAAAGATGCAAGCCAAACCATCTGTGTAGATAATATGCTCTTTAGAATGCTGCCAGTGTTAGCGAGCAGTCAAGTACACCTTACAGTCTCTTTATCCATGGTAGTTACAGTTAGCCACGACTCCAGAGTGTGGAAAACTTCCAAACTGAACAGGAAATTGTAAGTTTTGTGGCTTTCTGACTGAGATGAATTCCTCTGCTGCCCTGCTGGACTGTGAGGCCCCTTCCTTGCAGTATATCCCTGCCCTAAATCCTTAGCAGCCCTCTGTTCTCAGCATTGTTGCGATCTCATGTTTCATAGTGTTAAGTAACCCATGGAGCACACAAGTGCAAGCATAATGATGCTGCACTTTGGATGTGTCAGAGAGAAGCAATAGAGTGTTCTGCAAGTGAAAGCTCTTGACTTAGAAATGAAGGCAAAAACATAGAAGTTGCTAAGATCCTTGGTAAGAATAAGCTTAATGTTCATTAAATTGTGAAGAAAGAAAAGGAAATTCTTTATAGTTCTGCTGTTGTACCTCAGATTACAGAAGCTATATACATGAGCTCAGTTAGCTAGAAAAGATACTGGCTGAACTTGCATATGTATGTGAAAGGAAAAAGTCTTGTTTTTCAAAGTTTTGGCACTATCCATGCTTTCTTTCAACAACTAAAAGTTTTGCAGTGGGTCTCCTGTGGGTAAGGAAGGAACACTACTACCTATAGGACCATGAAAAGTAATGGCAGATGGTTGTGCCTACTTCTTTACCATGAGCTGGCTTTCCCATTATATTCCTCCTGAGACCATTTATTACATTGAATCTGTAGATTGCTTTTGTAAGATTGCCATTTTTACTATGTTGATTCTACCTACCCAAGAGTATGGGAGATCTTTCCACTTTCTGGTGTCTTCTTCAATTTCTTTCTCCAAAGATTTAAAGTTCTTGTCATACAAGTCTTCTACTTGTTTGGTTAGAGTTTCTTCGAGATATTTTATGCTATTTGTGGCTATCGTGAAGGGTGTTGATTCTTTGATTTCTTCCCCAGCCCATTTATCATCTGTGTACAGGAGGGCTACTGATTTTTTTGAGTTAATCTTGTATCCTGCTACATTGCTGAAAGTGTTTATGAGTTGTAGAAGTTCCTTGGTAGAATTTTTGGGATCACTCAGGTAAACTATCATCTCATCAGCAAACAGTGAGAGTTTGACTTCTTTTCCAATTTGTATCCCCTTGATCTCCTTTTGGTGTCTTAATGCTCTTGCTAGGACCTCAAGAACTGTATTGAATAGATATGAAGAGAGTGGACAACCTTGTCTTGTTTCTGATTTCAGTGGAATCGCTGGGAGTTTCTCTCCATTTAGTTTGATGTTGGCTGTTGGCTTGCTTTATATTGCCTTTATTATGTTTAGTATGTTCCTTGAATCCCTGCTCTCTCCAAGACCTTTATCATGAAGGAATGTTGTATTTTGTCAAGCTTTCTCAGCATCTAATGAGATAATCATGTGGGTTTTATTTTTCAGTTTGTTTATATGGTAGATTACGTTGACAGATTTTCGTATGTTGAACCATCCCTGCATCTGTGGGATGAAGCAGACTTGATCATGATGGATGATGGTTCTGATATGTTCTTGGATTCGATTTGCTAGTATTTTATTTAGTATTTTTGCATCAATGTTCATGAGTGAGATTGGTCTGTACTTTCCCATTAATTTAAAAAAATACCTGATGTTTAGTGATCAGAATACATATAGTTGACAATAAATTTATTATTTACAGTGGTGACATTAGTGTTATTAAAATTTTGAATCACATTTTGATCTTGTTTTTTGTTTTTAAGGAGTGTTTATAATTTATTCTCCTTAGGAGCTGTAGTTATCAAGTAATTCATTTTGTTAGTTTGATTTTAAGATATTTTATATGAATCCTGTAGTGCTTGTGTCTGTCAGGGAAAGGGCCCTGAGAATGGAACTCAGGGCTTTGCACCTTTTATACAGGTTCTCTACAATTGATCTACATCACCAGTTTTGTATTTTCTGTCTCTTCTGTGTATTTTTTAGACAGGGTCTCCCTATGTAGTTCTAGCCGGTCTGCAGCTTGCAAACTCTGCCTGCCTCTGCCTCCATATGCTGGATTAAGGGCGTGGGCCAGCATGCCTGGCTTGTTTGGGCAATTTGAGACAGGCTGGCACTCAACATATGCCATCCTCTTACCTTTGTCGGAGTTCTTGGTTTAGAGGCATGTGCTGTCATTCCTGGCCTCTGGGTTGTTTGTTTTTTCCTTGTTAAGTTGTGTAACAGTTATTATTAGAACTTTACTAATAGGAATGTAATTCTGAAGTGACCTCAGGTTGTTTACTTTTTAATGGGAGTAGGGAATCGAAGTTAATGGTCTGTTCCATCTTAGTCAGTGTGGGTTGTTTTTTTTTTTGTGAACATGTGGGAATTTCATGGTAATGTAGAAAAATGGTAAGTTTTTTTTTTATATAATACTCTATTAAAAGTCAATGAATTTTTATAACCCAGCCTTCCCCCACCATTTTTTCTATTTCAAGGCTTTATCTCTAACCTGACCATTCAGAGGCAGTACTTCCCTAATGATGAAGATCAGGTTGGGGCAGCTAAAGCTCTGTTTCGTCTGCAAGACACCTACAATCTGGACACAGACACCATCTCAAAGGGCAATCTTCCAGGTAAGAGAATTCTTCACATTCATCAGTGTTTGTCACCTAGCTACTCTCTTCAGCCTATAGGAAATATGAGTAATTTTATGTATTAACATTTGTTTGTGACAGGGTCTCCTATAGATCAGGCTGGTCTCCGGTTTCAATCTCCTGAGTGCCGGGATTACAAGCATATACTGCTATACCTGGCTTTCTAGCTCACGAAGAAAGTTATTTGTTGTTAGTATTTGCAAGGCTATGAGAGTATGCGGGGGCGGACACGTACCGTGGCACATGTGTAGAGGTCAGAGAACAGTCTGGGAGTTGGTTCGCTCCTCCTTCCGTGGGATCTGGAGTTCCACCTGATGGGCCATCTCAGTAGCCCTACTTGTTGCTATCCTTGGAGAACAAAAGAAAAGCTCCCTTCTCTGGGAGTTAATGGCAGGGGATAATGCTTTTAGCTTGATAATGTCAAAGCAACAGCCTAAGGAAGGAATTTCAGTATATAACAAAAATCATTTTTCTAGTTTTTCTTTTAGAACATCTGATATTACTTAAATGCTTTGTAGATAAAATTGTAAGATGATTAATCCTTTTATGTCCATTAACTGAAAGCTAAGATGTTCTGAATATGGACAGATATTAAAATGTTCTGTAGTATAAAGCAACCTACTATAGTATGTAACTATATTGGTCAAAAAATTTTGTGCAAAAATTTTGAGTTATATCTTACTTTATGATAATTTGCTTCTGTCACTTTTTCTGTGAATTTGTGTCTCGGTGCCTTCTCTCACTATCACCGGAGAAGTGAGATGTGTCTGTAGTCAGACTGAAACTGGTTTTCTCAGTAACCAAACAAAGAGATGGTTGTTGATGAAGATGCTTTCCCTTCCTCCCTCCCTCCCTCCTTCCCTTCCTTTCTGAGACAGAGTTTCTCTTTATGTAACTCTAGCTATCCTGACACTCACTCTGTAGACTAGGCTGGCCTTGAACTCATAGAGATCCACCTACCTCTGCCTCCCAGTTCTGCGATTAAAGGTGTGCACCACCACTGCCTGGCTAAAGATGCTTTTTTTGTACATTTTTTTTTTCCATTTGGGATAAGTTGTGGGATGGTAAAATTTAATATTTTATATTAAGTAAGATTTTTTTAATAAACAAATACTTATTGAACTGATCAGGTTTGTATTCTATTTTCTATTTCTATTAACTGCATTCATTACAATATTTGATAGGACTATAACATTTAAAATTTGGCTTCTGGTTTACAATCCCACATTCAATAGGCATTAATTATGTCATATGTGCAGTTACTAAGTGTTAATAATCAGGCATCGTACTGGCCTGCCCTAGGGGTCCTGACAGGATACATCCTCAGCTGCAACCACTAAGAGCACCTCCTGTGTACATTCACTGCGTTCCCTTTTAAAAGACGGGTTTTGCCCACCTCCCATCTCTGTCTCTGTCTCTGTCTGTCTGTCTCTCTCTCTCCCTCTCTCCCTCTCCCTCTCCCTCTCCCTCCCCCTCCTCCCCTCTCTCTGCTTCTCTGCCTGTCTCTTCCTCCCTCTGCCTCTTCTCTTCTGCCACTCCTGTCCCTAGAGGCCCGTTTCCCTCCTCCCCTCCCTGCTTTTTCGATTCCCTTCCTCTGATAAAAAACTCCTCCATGTGAGCTCTGTTGTATTGCATCTTTCTCTTGCATGCTGCTTTTTAAATTACAACACTAAGATCAGTCCAAAAATTATATAATGCACAAGACAATACCTTTGTCGTTTAAGGCACTTCTGTTCTTAAGATAATGGTACAATGAATGCCAGGAAGGGAGAGCTTCCGGATATAGTAGGAGAAGCACACAGAAGGGATCCTAATTCTGGGCTTCATAGATGTGAAAATGACTTCATGGAAGACCTATTAAAATAATTGAGATCTAATGAAGAAAGTGTTAACCAGGAGAATGGGGAGGAGGTGGACAGGAGTAGGCAAGGAAAAAGTGTTCTAGACAGAAGAAACATATCTGAAGGCCAGAAGGGAGAGAACCCATCATACTCAGATAAGTAACAAACACTTTTTTTTTTTGCTTGTTTGATTGATTTGATTTTGGCTTTTTGAGGTAAGATTTCTCTCTGTAGATCCTACTGTCTTGGAATTTGCTTTGAAGCCTCAACCCAGAGATCCCTCTGCCTCTGCCTCCCGAGTGCTGGGATTAATGCATCACATGGGCTAACAAGAACTTTGTGTGGTTTAACACAGTTCTAATGGAACATGCATGAGTTAGGAATGGGGGTTTGGTTGGTGAGAGGCTAACGAGGTAAGCAAACATGGCACCTATGGAGGGCTTGTATCCTTTCTCCCATGCTCTTGTTTCTTCATGCCAGCTGTGGAATAATCTCATCTTCAGGTGCTGTGTTGTCTTTTTTTTTCTTTCTTTTTCAAAAACCAAATTCCCAGACAGTCTTCTGTAATAATTGTGAATAGATAATAATGAAAACATTCATAATCACTTTACCAAAGCAGAATAGCTGAAGATCTTCCGCCCTTTATCATTATGCTTATTCATACAACACTGCCAGAATGTTGTCATTTGCAGACTGTTACTGTGATGTCTGCGTGTGTTGATGTACATACTCCCCCCATGTGCTTTGCATGGCCCCAAAACACTTAGGCTTGCCGAATCGTGAACTCATTTTAGACATGTACCAGCAGCACAGTAATGAGGGTCAACATTTTATATGACTGTTTGGTTTCTGGAATTATATCACATTAAACTATTAGGATTTTAATATCTGCTGTGGTTAAATGTGTCCCCTGCCAGTTTCAGCTATTGAAACTTTATTACCATGAATCTGAGGCCAGCCTGCATATATAGCAAGTACCAGACCATACAGGGATGTATAGCAGGATTTTCTTTTATCAGTTTGTTGGTTAGTATTAATTGTCAATTTGACCAAAGTACAATGCCCTGGGAAGAGATAGGCTTCTGGGCTTGCCTGTGGAGGATTGCCTTTATTATTAAATTGAAATAGGGAGAGCTGCCTACTGTAGGTGGGTTCATTCCCTCATTGGGATGTATAAACTTAACAGATTTTTTTTTTGTTATTTTATTGAAAATAGGTTTTTTCATGTAGTATATTCTGATTAGTTTCCTGTCTCCCAGCTCCTCCAGTATCCTTCTTTCTTTTCCCGCCCACCCAAATTCACACCCTTTCTTTCTCTCTCCCATTAGAATACAACAGACATCTAAAAAGATAAGAACCAAAATAGGACAAAACAAATGGGGGGAGCACCAAAAAAAAAAAACCACAAGAAGCACATGCCAACTCTAAGACACACATTTGCACACGTATAGAACCCAGAAAAACAAAATTGGAAACCATAACATCTAAGCAAAAGATCTGTAAGCCCCAGCAAAGCATATGTGGGAAAAATCTCCAATACTCTTGAATTCATTTGTGTTCACCGTCTCTGCTGGGCATGGGGCCCACCCCCAAGTGTGGTTTGTGTACCCAGTGAGACTCCATTGGGAAGCATTCCCTGTATTCTCTGCCTTAACTCCATTTCCTTCCCTTCCCCTATTCGATACTCCCATTTCTGTTGTCTTTGCCCCACCCCCACATCCCTGTACATCTATGACTATCCTTCCCACTAGTCCCTTATTCTGTACCTAACCTCTGCGGTTAAACTGATGTAACAGCTAATATCTGCGTATAATCTGATACATACCACATTTGTCTTTTCGGGTCTGGGTTTTTTTTTTTCTAGTTTCATCCATTTGGCTGTGTGGGGGTTTTGTTTGTTTATTTGTTTTGTTTTGTTTTTTAAAGCTGAGTAGTGTACTACATTTGCTTTATCCATTCATCTGCTGATGACCATCTGTTTCCAATTTTTAGCTATTATGAATAGAACAGCAGTGAACATGGTTGGGCAAGTGTCTCTTAATGTAGAGAGCCCTTTGGGTATATGCCCAAGAGTGGAACTAACACTCAAAAGGAGTAGACGATAAGAAATAATCAAACTCAGGACTGAATCAGTCAAATAGAAACAACAGCATCAATACAAAGAATCAATGATCAATAAGATTGGTAAATTCTTAATTAAAAGAGAGAGAGAGAAGGTCCAAATCACTAAAATTAGCAGCAAAAAGACTGTTTTTCTAAAAAGATAAACTAGCAGCGGTTTGTTTTGCTTTTGGTGCATCTTTCTGTTCATCTCTTTTTCAGATTGTTCCTTAGGCATAAGATAGATAGCAGTTTTGTTGTTGCTTCTGAGTCAGATATGATTCCTGCTGTGTTATATAATAGCAAGTTTTATCTTGATTGATGTTTCATTTTGGTAACTTCATCTGCTTTATATATACTTGATAAATGGGTATTAATAACATGTATGCTATATGATTTCATCTAAATCTTGGGTTCTTTTTCACTTTTTTACAACAATTTTGTGTGTATGCCATATGGGTGCCATGGCATGCATGTGGAAGTCAGAGGACAATTCCTTAGGTCTTGAGCTTGGAGGCTAGTGCCTTTACACTGAGCCATCTCCTCAGCCTTAGGCGCTTGAGGTACATCCCTTGTACCAAGTGTGTAATCCTGTCACACCATATTATTCTGTTTGTTTATAAAATTAGGCTAATTTTTGCTTTGAATATATTGTATATTTGTTTTGAGACAGGGTCTCTCTGTGTAGCCCTGCTGGACTTGCTATATAGACTGGGCTGGCCTTGAATTCAGAGAATTCACTGCTCGACTTCCTGAGTGCTGGGATTAAAGATGGTGCTACCCACACCTTGCTGATTATTGCTTTTCTTACTACTGGATTATTAAGAAGTTCAAATCAAAGTGAAGTAGCACTTGGAAAGTTTATGTAACCCTAAGTAAGTATAGTACAACATGAAGATTGCCAATGCTCTGTGTTTTCTGTTCGTAGGAGTGATACACAAGTCTTTCCTAACGGCCGAGGACTGCTTTGAGTTGGGCAAAGTGGCCTATACAGAAGCAGATTATTACCACACGGAACTGTGGATGGAGCAAGCACTAATGCAGCTGGAGGAAGGCGAGGTTTCCACCATAGACAAAGTCTCTGTTCTAGACTATTTGAGCTATGCAGTGTACCAGCAGGGAGACCTGGATAAGGCACTTTTACTCACAAAGAAGCTTCTTGAACTAGGTATGTTATTTGGCCTAATTTACGATATTTGCACACTTACCTGCTTATTGCTTGTCTTTAACCACACAGTCAGCCATGTGTCTTTCACCAGAAGTCTAGCACTTGCCCCGCCAGACGTCCTTTGTCTTCTCGCCACTTACCCTCAAAGTAAGCAGTAACTGAGTTTTCACCCAATGGTATCGCAGCAGTCACTGTGTTCCTTTGCCATTCTTTTTCCACTGGGAATTTAAAAACTGGAACAACCAGACTATAGTGGTGTACTCCTTGATTCTCCAGCACATGGGAGATAGAGGCAGGTGAATCTCTACGAATTTAAGGCTAGCCTGGTCTACATCTTGAGTTCCAGGACAGCCAGGACTACACAGTGAGACCTTCTCTCCAAAAAACAAAATAATGAATAAATAAAGAAATAGGTCAAAGCTAGATGAAGAACTCAGTTGAAAATTTACATACCATGTGGCCATAGTAATTGCTAACCATTTTCTTTTGAAGAACATTATTATTTTTTGCATTTCATATTCAAAATGTATTGATACAAGAATTTTTTAAAGTGATATATTTTATGTGTGTGAGTATTTACCTGCATGTGTGTAGGTGTATCACTAAGACCAGAAGATGGTATCACATCCCCTTGAAAGTATGTGGGTGTTGGAAACTGAACCCTGGCCCTTTTCAAGAGCAGCAGTACTCTTAACCCCTGATCCATTTCTCAGGCCTACCAGAATTCCTTGATTTCTACCCAAGATCTGCTATGTTGAAATCTTTGGAAATGGAGTCTCAGAATATATAAAATAATAAATTATGAAGAAACAACATTTAATAATTTTTTAAAATTTTTATTTATTTATTTTTTGTTTTGTTTTGTTTTGTTTTTCGAGATAGGGTTTCTCTATATAACAGCCCTGGCTGTCCTGGAACTCGCTTTGTAGACCAGGCTGCCCTTACATTCACTGAGATCCATCAGCCTCTGCCTCTCAAGTACTGTGATTTAAAAATGTGTACCTGAGTAAGATGATAGATGTTGGGGGCCAGAGATATGGCTCAGAGGTTAAGAGCACTGGCTGGTCTTCCAGAGGTCTTGAGTTCAGTTCCCAGCAACCACATGGTGGCTCACAACCATCCCTAATGAAATCTGGTGCCTACTTCTGTCATGCAGGCAGAATGCTGTATACATAATAATAAATAAATCTTAAAGATGATAGATGTTAGAAAAGCGAGACTTCTCCAAAAGATTGATCTTCTGAAAGTGAGCTTTATGATAATTGGTTTGTTTCTTAGTTAGATGAATAAATCAAGATATTAGTTCAAATAACATTTGTCTTTCTTTTGGTTTTTTATTTAGATTATACTTTGTATTCCATGTAGAAAATTTATTAATATAGAAAATAGTCAAGTTTTTTTATCATAGTATATATTCCCTCACTATACACATTTACTTTTCTCTCTTATTATATGCCATAACGTACATTGTGATCTGTTTCAAAAGAACTACAAATAATTTACAAACCGAACACTTTGATTAATGCCACAAGTGATGCCTCTACTTCCTGTTCTTTTTATTTTTATCTCTGTGATTGCTTGGATTAGTTTTCCTTACTAGAATGTAGCTAAAAATTATCACTAGTAATTTCTGGGGGCAGTTAGTGAATTTTGGCGTGTTCGAAAATTACATCTCTTCAGTTTCCTTTTTCCTTCACACTTAGAAATTTAGAGCTGATGTCTACTCAGCCATCAGATGTAAGCTTGTCTGCATCTGTCTGTGTTAAATATTAGTTATGAAGTGGGTCTGGTTTGTCTTTAACGTAGTGATTACTTTGTAGCCACAAAATGATCTTTCCCATTACTTAAAATACATAGATGAGTAAGAACTTTGTTGTTGTTTTGTTTTGTTTTCTTTTTGGTTTTTTTTGAGACAAGATTTCTCCTTGTAGCCCTAACTGTTCTGGAACTCACTCTGTAGACCAGACTGGCCTAGAACTCGAGATCTTCCTGCCTTTGCCTCCTAAGTGCTAGAATTAAAAGCATGCACCGCTATGCCCAGCTGAGTAAGACTCTAAAATGTTATTTGACACGAGATTGAACATTGTTCTGGGGCTGGTCACTAAAGTTCTCAAAGTAGAAAGAAGTAGCTGCTGCCTAAATGTTCAAAACTGCTTCTGTCGCCAGAGCTGTTTCTGTCCAGGGCAGCTCTATCCTGATTGCCTAGGGCAGTGCTAGTTACTCTTCTTTTGGTACTAATAACTTACATTAGTGCCTCCTTTCTCAAAAGTATCTTAATTAGGAAGAGAAACTTTAGATTCCTGTGTTTATGTTACAGTTTTTTGATGATTGATTGAACAACCGAAAACTTGACCATGTAAACTCTTTATTTCTCTCTAATAGATCCTGAACATCAGAGAGCTAATGGTAACTTAAGATATTTTGAGTATATAATGACTAAAGAAAAAGATACCAATAAATCTGCTTCAGGTGACCAGTCTGATCAGAAAATGACACCAAAGAAAAAAGGGATTGCTGTGGATTACCTGCCAGAGAGACAGAAGTACGAAATGCTGTGCCGTGGGGAGGGTATCAAAATGGTAAAGTGGAAAAAGTTAATTGTGTGTGTGTGAGAATGTGCATATGTTTGTGCATAGTGCTAGAGAGAGTTGGAGTTTATGTATATATAAGCCTATGTGATAAAATCAGAATGACTGCACAAAGCAGTGTGCCGTATTGCCTTACTGTGGATGAAAATGCATTAATGTGCATGTGGTACGCATTGTTTCCCAAAATGAACAGACATACATTGTTAGTGAGTTTTTAGAGTAAGTATTCCTAAGTGTAAACTCTTGAAAAAATGTTTAAATTCTTTCACTACTAAGAAATTAAAGTTAGGGTTTCTATTTAGACATTGAAGAATGTTGATAGTCTAACCACCAACTACAGATGTGTATATTGCATCATCATAAACAGAATCACGATTCCTATCAATAAGCTTTTGCTTTTATTGGGAGCTAATGAGCAATTCAAGAATAGAAAGACTTCATTAGATTCCTGTGACCGTTTTGTTCATTTCTTTTCTAATAATAATGTGTGTGTCAGACACCTTTGTATCGCTGATAAAATACCGGAGATTGACAGCTTTAAAAGGAGGAAAGATCCATTTGGGTTCAGGGGTTCCGAGACTTCAGTCTATAACCATAACACTCACTGCATCCTTTGTGCTCATGGCAAGGCAGGGCATCTTGGGGAGAGAATGTGTGGTGGAGCACAGCTGCTTACCCCACAGCAGCTCAGAAGCAGAGAGCAGCAAGGACGGATTTCCAGCATCACCTTCTGGGCACACCCCAGTGACTTTCCTAAAGATACCACCTGCCAAGCACACCACAGGCTAGTGACCAAGCTAAGAATTTAGAAACAGTTTAGATTCAAGCTCTAAGAGTACGTATCTTTTAAAGATAAGAAATCAAACTCACTGGAGGTTATTATCATATCTTATAGATTTCTAGAAGTTGCATAATAATATCAAATAATCAAATATCTAGTTAGTTTGTGAATTTCCATGGGTCTGAACTTGTTTTGAAAACAGGATCTCCTACCTCACAGACTATTGATTTGTAACTCTTTATCTTATTCATTATGGAATTTTGACCTTCTGGTTCTTCTGCATCTATGCCCACACCCAGTTAATACATTGCTAGGGAGTCAACTCAAGGCTTTGTGCATGCTAGACAAGCACTCTGTCAACTGAACTACATGCCCAGTCCTTAGTAACTTTTAAGTCAGCAAAATGGAATTCTGGCTCCATATAGTATGCTGCATGAATGTCAGCTCTGCTCATAGTTAGAGAAGCATCCCCTTTTCGAGTTGCTACATTCATCATTATAAAAGATTTATTTGATAGAAAGCCTTGAATTTGACTCTTGAAGTACATGAAGAAAAATAAATTACTTGTTATCTAACAGTTAAATGTCATATATGACATATATGTTTAAGATAAGAGCCAGAAGCTTATGATGACACGTGGTTGTAAAACCATCATTCAAACACCCTAGAGGCTGAGGCAAATGGTTTTGAGTTTGAAATCAGCTTGGACTGTAAGGGACCTTGCCTTTAAAACAAAGTAATAGCTTATTTCATTGCTGCATGTGCACAAACTGTTGAAAGAAACATTTATTTGCTTTGTTGTCTGTCCTGTTACCATTCTCAATAATACAAATGCCTGGTTTCTTTAAGAACTTATTTTCTCTTTTTCATAGCTACTCATTTTCGCTTTTGCTGTTAAAAATATACTATTACTGTGGCTGAAGAGATAGTTCAGTGGTTATGAGTGCTTGCTGCTCTTCCAGGGACTTGAGTATAGCTCCCAGTACCCATGTCAGGTGACTGAGAACCCCCTGTAACTCCAGGAGAGTTGACCAACATCTTCTGACTTTAATGGGCACTGCACTCACATGTGCTTACACACATATATATATATGCTAAAAGTGTACACACACACAATATTACCATAACTGCTGTTTTTACCGCAAGCTTTTAACTGTGCAATAATCAGAAAAAGTTTGTTTAGTCTTTTTATGTTTGTTTTTTTCCCCCCTTCTTGAAATTGCGGGTTTTTTTTTTCCTGGCTGCCTCCTTGTTATTTTGGAGAAATGCTGGGTTTATTTTTTCCCCTTTTAAGTAAATATTTAAATGTTATTTGATGTTTATAATACCTATAGTTTATTTGATAAGAGAATGGTGGAAATAAGAAACATAACCTTATTTTCTTATTTGAGGCCTCCCTCTTCTCCAGAAAATAATCTTTTATATTTTTTAGTGCTAGGGATTGAACCCAGTGCCTTTCTTATGCCAGGTACCCACTCTACTACCAAGCTGCACCCCCAAATCCTAAGAATCATTAATAACATTTTAAAGATCATAAATGATTGGTTTGATGCAAAACGTCTACAGGATATTGCTGCTTTGTGTGATTTTCCAGAGACCATCTCTCTCTCTCTCTGTGTGTGTGTGTGTGTGTGTGTGTGTGTGTGTGTGTGTGTGTAATCATAGTTCTTGTTTTTAGCCCATAGAGGAATCGACAGTGGGTAATATTTTAATATATTTATTATTTTCTTTATATTTAGACTCCTCGGAGACAAAAAAAGCTGTTCTGCCGCTACCACGATGGAAACCGAAATCCTAAATTTATTCTGGCTCCCGCCAAACAGGAGGATGAGTGGGACAAGCCGCGTATTATTCGTTTTCATGATATTATTTCTGATGCAGAAATTGAGGTTGTCAAAGACTTAGCAAAACCAAGGGTAACTTTTTTTCTTCTCAGTTTACTGAATGTTTGTGTTAATCTTTTCTTTGCAAGGTGGCCATAACTTCAGAAGGTTTTAAGTGTTATTGCCCCAACATAGTGTTGTTAAGTTATGGTTTATGCTGGCTGTCTCAGTTTGTTATCTACATAAGTAATATGCCGTATTGCTGGGCTTTAAACAGTAAGTAATGGAAACCATAGATTCGTGTTCTTTTATAAAAAAATAGTTTTTTGCTGTATTCCTGGAAGACCTACATATTTTGTAGCCTTCAGTACCACTCAAAGCTAAACCTTTTTATACATAGTCTGTTTTTATAGGTATCTTGCTAATTTTAAAATAGTATTATGGTTTCCTAATTTTAGTTTATATATATTCTTTTAATTTTATTTTATGTATATGGGTGTTTTGTTTGCATGTGTGTCCGTGTACCATGTGCACGCTGTGCCTATGGAGGCTAGAGGGTATCAGATCTTCTGGAACATGAGTTACAGATTGTTGTGTTCTGCCGTGTGGGTGCAGGGAATCGAACCTCAGTCTTTTGCAAGAGCAACAAAGTGCTCTGAAGAACTGCTGAGCGGTCTCCCCAGCCCTTAATTTATCTTATCAAGAAAAATAGTTGAATGTGAGTTATGCCTAATTCTATACATGTAGTGTTTGACATAGAAACTTGTCTTTTGTGTGGGACTGTGGAGACCATCCCTCTGTCCTTTCTTTCCCCATCAGCTTGTTCTTTAAAACAGCACATCTAATAATAATAAAATGCAAGCTTTTGTAGAGATTATTAAATAAATTCTGGTTATTATTTTTTTCTGTTGTAATACGTAGAGGTTGATGCATTTCTATAAGGGTCAGGGTAGTAAGTTTTCGAGCTTTGACAGCTGTGTGGTCTCCGTCCAGCTGCTCAACTTCGTCTCTGGTGACTAAATCCTGTGCTCACAGTAGCATCCGGTTTTTACTTCTAAAGCTGGCGGGTCTGCTGGCTGTGTGTGTGTGCTTAGATAAACTTGAAATTTCCTTTTCTAATTTCTTAACGTATTGTTATTGATTCTCTGGGAATTGCACATCGCGCACCTTGATCACACTCACTTCCCACTCCTCCCAGTGCCCCCACCCTTGTGGCCGTACCCCCAAAAAAGAAGAAAAACAAACCACAAGTCCAATTTATGTTGTCCATATAAACTTGAAATTTTTAAAGTTTTAAAAATACATTGTAAGTACATAGGTTTAATGTGGGGCATCAGGTGCTGTCTGGGGCCATTCTCACAAGTCAGCTTCCAAGCAGAATGCCTCTTAAAATGACTCCGTATTTTCTCATTTTCTTTTGAATTCCTAATTCAGTCCTTTTCAGACTCACTTTACCAATATTTCTTGGTAGGATATTTGTTAGGAATTCACTTTTGAGATAGAAGGTCTCTAGTTGGGATTGTTTTTGGTGAATAAATTCAGCGACAACTAGTTAATTTGCTTGTCATGTCAGAATTGCCGCCCCATTTTAGAAAATCTGAGATGCTTGTCGTGGCTGTCGTCTTCCCTTAACCCCAGCTGCCCTGCTGTTCTCCTCACACAGAAAGGCTGTTTTCCTGTGTCTATTACTGAGTCATGTTATCTCTTGAAAAGATGAAGAAATGACCTTAAAACAAATTTTATTAACCTTTGTAAACATGTCTCACTGGAGTTAAATCTGAGGTTTTAGAGTAGCTGATTATTATTAATATGTCTTTTGTTTTTTCAGACAGGGATTCTCTATATAGGCCTGGCTATCCTAGAACTAGCTCTGTAGACCAGGCTGGCCTCAAACTTAGAGAGCTCCTCTTTCCTCTGCCTCCCTAGTGCTGGGATTAAAGGCATGTGCCACATCCACCCTGCACAAACAGCCATTCTTTAAGCCATAAATTGTACTTTACATTTCAGGAATTTTTCTTCTCATTATCACACTCTCTAAGTATTGAAGAATTTAATTTCCAGTCTTTTCTGTTTGTGTGGCCTGTGTTCATGCAGTGCAAAAGCAATTAAAATAATTTTTAAGAAACACACCAAAAATCTAACTGACTTTTAAGGCTCAACACAAGGTGATTGGAAGGGTATTTAGATATTTTCCTATTCACCCTCTTTTGTTTAAAGAAAAAAGAAAACGGAGAGTTCTGACTGGTTAGGGAAATGTGGTTCATTTTTTGTCTTGTAATGCAATTATTTTGATGGTTGGCTTCACAGCTGAGGCGAGCCACCATTTCAAACCCAATAACAGGAGACTTGGAGACGGTACATTACAGAATTAGCAAAAGGTAAGAGATTGTATGCTGCATATTTTTCCTCCTAAAGAGTGTCTTGAACATCCTACCGGAATTCTTACTCATTTACAGAAGTAGATCATTTCCAGTCTCCAGCTCAAGTGGCCGCCGTACACATAGAAGCATAACGCATGGAAGCATGCTTTGTGTTTCACAGGCTTCCCCTTGAACTAGAAGTTCTGTTTTATCTCTGTTCGGCCTCATGTTTCAGGAATTTTTAAGGTCAGATATTAAACACTCAGGAAATGGCCTGGTCCTTTCTTTTCAAGCCCTCTGTTGTGAAAGTGGGAAATGAAGAAGCAGCAGTCCCTTCATGTGGGGTGGAGTGCTGACGTGCCTCACTCCCTCCTGCACAGCGATTGTCCGCTTGGTCTTTCGCCTTTAATCTGTTATTGTCATTATGAAGTAATCTGTTCTTACTGGAGTTTCTCACTGCCCGAAAGTTGGCTGCGGAAAGAGCAGTTCTGCTTCCGAGCTCAGTCTTTCAAACGACTTGTGATCTCTGTTGACCTGAATGATGCAGAGAAACTGGAAGACAGTTTCATCCCGATGAAAGTTTTAAAATGATGAACTAATTTCGAATACTTTGTAAACTATATTTGAAGAACATTGAACTTATAGACCTGGGGAAGCTCCTGTGAAACCCACTGCCGCAGATCATTCCATACAGCCTTGAATGACGTTAGTTAAAAAAGCGAAAGGACAATAAATGCATTTGCAGTCAAATTCCGTCAGCCATTTTCTCCTGACTTAGAAGTGGCTGCTCTTCTGCCACCTTTCTGAACGTTTTGCTGATTCGACCCATTACCCGCCATGCAGACCAATCGGAATCCTTCCAATCACCTGTGGCTTGGCAAAACAAAAAAAGTGAACAAAGCCCAATGGCCTGCTGGAGTGTAAGCCTTTGTCCTTTCTCTTTTTTCTTTTCGTAGCTGAGCCGAGCTACAGTACATGACCCTGAGACGGGGAAATTGACCACAGCACAGTACAGAGTATCTAAGAGGTAAGGGAGCAATGGAGAGAACTTGAGGCATATTTGGAGTGTTCTTTTTTGAGAATCTAATTTCGACAAAATATATGATATTGTTTCTGAGATGTAGATGTCAGGGGAAGGTTTTGAAGTCTGTGCTTGATTTTCATAATGGACCAATAAGCAGATAGATCCAGGCAGTTTCAGGCAGTTTCCAGATCGTTGATAAGTATAAAATGCCCAGTAAGGCTCCAGCAATGCTGATATGGAAAGTGTCTTATGGTGAAAAAATTCTCTAAAGGCTCTCTGCACAGTGCAAGGCCCAAGGCAGCAAACTCTGCTGTAGTTAATCTGGTCACCATTAACTGTAAAAGAAATGCCTAGAAGGACAGTGAGGCTCCTACAAGTCAGCTTTCAATTCCTTCCGTTCAGCAACAGTTAGAAGTAACAGTTAAGGATCACGGTACAGATTAAACTGTACCATGTACTAAGGCCAAGTAAGGTTAGTACAGCAGTGACTCACCTATGTGATAATGGCTTCTCAGATTAGAAAATGAAAGCAGAAATGTCATTACTCTTGATTCTGCTGCATTCTAACCCTAAGTAAAGTTTTTCTACAGATACAAAAGTTATAGAAATAAATATAAGCTCTGCCCCGTCTCACTATAAACATTGAAATATATTTGAGAGTAATTGCTTAGATTAACATGTATTAATAATAGTTGAAATAACTCAATCTGAAGCTACTTTTTAAATTTGTTAAAGCTTGATTGATTGATTGATTGCTATTATGTGTGTTGTGCCCGTGTGCACACATGCCAGAGTGGACATGTAGAAATCAGAGCTTCTCTGAATTTGTGAGTTGGTTCTCTCTCCAGTTGGTGAAGCATGGTCTTTCTTGCTGTGTCTGCCATGCTGTTTACTCAGGACTGACTGACTCCTGATCTTCCGGGTAATTGAGACTTCTTTCTTTACCTCCCATCTTTGCATAGGAGGGCAGGAATTACAGACTTACTTTTATTCATTCATTCATTCATTCATTCATAACAGAGATGGAACTCGGGTTTTCATGGCATGATCTGAGCTATTTTGCCTGCCCTAAAGATGCTACTTTTAATACAAGCTTTTATGTAACAGGAAATTTATGGTGTTGTCAGTTATATAAATATTTTCGTTATAGCTCTGGAATAAGATTTCTCAAATCAACATTTTTTACCTTTCAAAATTTTTTATTGTTAATTTGTAGCACTGGAAGTTGAACCTAGGCCTCTCATATATTCCCAGCCTAAGGTGTAGCTCAGGGTAGCACTGGACTTGTGGTCATCCTGCTTCAGCCTCTTCAGCATCTTCCTGTTGTGCTATGTTCCCAGGTGCCACCATGGTTGACAATTGATACTTGGAATCAGGTCATTTTTGTTGTTGTTGGTTATTTGAGCATGGTTAGTCCCATCTCTGGCACTCAATAAATGTTACAACTGGAGACAGGTGTAGGGACAGCTAGGTTGCTTGTTGTGCCTTGGTAGGTAGGACAAGTTCCCACTAACCTACTACTCTGCCTCCTCTGAGAACCACTGACTAGAAGAAGGATGAAAATGCAAGTTATGGTGCAGGGAGGGGGAAATGGCATGAGATTTTCAAGTATTCCAAAAATTGTGTTCAATTTTTAAAATTTGTTAGATTACATTTTATGTGTATGTGTGCATGTTTGTGTGCATGTATGTGTATGGTCACGTACATGCTGCATGTATGCTATAAGGAGATCAGGGAACAATTTTTAAGCTGCCCTGATGGGGCGCACCCTCAGGAATTTCTGTGAGTTCGAGGCTACTCTGGTCTGCATGTCAAGTTCCAGGATAATCAGGGCTACACAAAACCAAACCAAACCAGGATAGGTTGTAATGCCAGCATTTAGGAGGCTGAGACTAGGGAATCTGAGTTTGAGGCCAGCCTGGTGTACATGGGGGAACCCCCATCTCAAGACAAAACCTCCCCCATAAAGCTGTTACTGTATTTCAGAGACTTGCACATGAATTTGACATTTTTACAGTCATAAAGCTAGTAAGTATCTTAAGTTTTTTCCTGATTTGGATGCTTCTAAGAATCATTTAAAATAAAACTTTAGTGGAGGAAATGGGAAATGATGCGGTTCTCTTATAATCTTAAAAAACCAAACTTTCATGAATGAAGTGTTTTGGATTACATTTTTGAAATGTAAAATATATGTGACAAGGGAATCCACAGCCAAGTACGTCATTAGACTCTTCCCAGTTTTAAATAACTTCTGTTGAAAGTGATCCACAAATATTTGTTTTCTTAAAGCTAACTACTCTCAGTATTTCAGACTTTTTAAAAAGTATTCTAGTTTTATAACCCGAGAAATAGCTTTATTGGGTTATTTGAAAAAGGTATAGTCATACTTGATGTTATACATCCTAAGTGGCAACAGAAGGCTTATTTATAGCCAGTAGCATTCAATGCCTGAGACTAACTTTGACCTGTCTTAGCAAAGTATGGTATGTTTTAAACAAACTAGTGAAAAATGCATTTTCTATTTCAATGACTTTATTTATTTTTAAAGAAATGTATCAAAATAAAAATATGCTTTGAGAGACAGACATTAACTGTTAAAAAAAACTTCCCACTGAAAATATTAAGTATGCTTTAACAAATAAAATGTTTTACTGTTAGAGGAAGAGAGTTTCATGGATACTTGGAAGTACCCTAGTACAGATCTGAGCCATTGGATATAGTTGTGAAAACCTAAATTTTGAAGTTATAAATAAACCAACATTTTATTTAATTATAAATTAAAAGAAAAGTTTTCATAGAAGGAAATATGTGTTCTGATGTCAGTTAATGTAATAATCCCTTTTGCTCTAACAGCATCTGCATTTTGTAACAACCCGAAAAGGAATTATTTCTGAGTGATTATATCATTTCATGCAGAAGGATAGGCTCCAGAATTCCAGCAAGTGGGATTTTCTTTGGCAGAGCACACGGCAGTTTGCTGTTGTTGAAGGCTGGCCATGGGGTACCCAAGTCTCAGCTAACTGGGAGGCTTGAGTCCAAGAATTCAAGGTTAGCCGAGGTTCTTATTTATATAACTAACTATATGTAACATCGAGCTGGTAAATCATATGTCTTTTTCTGTGAAAACCAAATAGCCCCACCCCTAACAAAACAAAAACTTACCTCTTATTGCTGGCTAGATTAGTGGCTAGATGCCAGTAATGGAATTTAAGTTTTTGTTCGGTTGTGCATTGTGAAAAGACAGTTAAGTTGGGTAAATTCTGAAGTCAGCTTTCTATAGCACAAATCCTGACCATAAAAGTAAACAATATGCTTAAACTAGGAGAAAAGGTCTTTGATTTTGGTGGCTTATTCTTGGAAACAGTTTTCAGTTTTTCACTCTAAATAATGATTTCTAACAATTGGTGTTTATAATGTTATAAACATAATATGGCATTTATGCCTAAAATTAGTTTACCCATATTGCTAAGAAGCAAGTATAAAAATCTAAAAGCATTTATTTATATGCAGTGTTCTGCCTGCATGTGTCCCTGCAGGACGGAAGATGGTACCAAATCTCATTCCAGATGGTTGTGAGCCACCATGTGGTTGCTGGGAATTGAACTCAGGATGTCTGGAAGAGCAGCCCGTGCTCTTAACCTCTGAGCAATTTCTCCAGCCCCCTCTAAAAGTATTTTTTATGACACTTAAGCTAATATGCAGAATTTGGGGGTTTTGTTTGATTGTTTGTAGTTCTGGCTGTTGTAGAACTTGCTGTATAGACCAGACTAGTCCCCAAGCTAACAGAGATCCTTTTTGTTCTGCATCCAGAGTGTTGGACTTGAAGACATGCACCACCACACCCTGCCAGAATGGCATAATTCTGAATGATTTCAAATAGTTTTAAAGTGCCCTAATGTTTAAAATCATTGCCCTCTAATGGGTTAAGCAGTGGTTTTCAAATGGAGAGAATCAAAGTAGATAGATACTACCCACCAAGCACTTGAAGAATTATTAGAAATTGGAAATGTTGCTATTGGGAACCAGTCCTTTAACCTCAGACCTATCATTTGTCTTTACAAAGCAACAGTATATTGACCTTATATTAGTTAATTGTAACATGTTAGTTTTACATCTGCATTGTGGTAGGAGGTGTGACAGTGTTCAGATTGTATTGCTGACATCTTCCCATGGAGGTCTGAACTGTCTCTGAAGTGGCCCCAACTTAGCCAGCCTACCATCTACAAGCTGTGTAAGGATGCTGCAGTGCTTTTAAGATTTGTGTGTTAAAAGTCAGGATTATTTCAAATAGAGGAATCTTGCTTTTAGAAAAAGTAGAAACACTAATTGAAAGTATAAGCCCTGTTATGAATCCAAAAAGAAAGGTATGTGACTATTTAATTTTTAGTAGAAGATACAGTGCATATAGAATTACTAGAGCGGGGAGGTAGATGCAGGAGGATTGGAAGTTCAGTTCATAGTGAATTCAAGGCCAGCCTGGACCACTCAAGATCCCTTGTCAAAACAAAAAGCAATAGACAGTTTAAAAGTTGGTAGCTGTCAGGCAAGTGACAGTAGAAGTTGGTTTCTGTCTTTGGGTAGTAACTTTCATGTTATAATAAGCACAGGCTCCCCATTCAAAGCTGGCTTTATGGAACTTTACTAGAACATGTTGAATGATGCGGGCCAAAGAATACCAGGCTAACTCCAAGATAAATCAGCTATATTTTTCTTTATTATAAGGGACAAACTCATGAAACAGGAACGAGAAATCCAAGCTCAGCTGTGTTGCACAGGAACCACAGAAGAGTCCTGGGCAGCCAGGCGTTTTTTCTCCCAGTAACCAATAGGTCACGCCCTAACCTGATCCCACCTCTTAAAGATGATTGGCTGACAGAGATTCCCCATCAAGAACATAACTCCTTATTTTGTGGTTAATCTAAATAAATTTCTTTTCGAGACAGGGTTTCTCTATAACTTTAGAGCCTGTCGTGGAACTAGCTCTTGTAGACCAGGCTGGCTTCAAACTCACAGAGATCCCCCTGCCTCTGCCTCCCAAGTGCTGGGATTAAAGGCGTGCACCACCACCGCCTGGATTAATATAAATAAATAATTAGGAGCTGGGCATATCTCCTCAGAGTTAAAAGGTTTGCCTACCATATGTAAGGCCCTGGGTTTCATCCTCATCACTGCAAAATGAAATATAATAATAAAAAAAGATAGAAAAATGATACGGGATTTTTTTTTTCTGAACAGTTAAGATTAGGTTTTTCCAAGAATACTGTTAAAACAATGAACTTTAGAATCAAAGCTTAATGAGAAGTGAAGGAAGAAAATGTTGAATGACTGGACAGAAGCAGAACAAAAGATATACTTGAACTTGGGATTCCATCCTATTTAAGATCTGAGGTTTAACCTGGGCCTTACATTGGAGGTACAACTTCCAAATCATAAAATTCACGTTTTGATTTTTATGTTTAAATTTTTTAAATTTTATTTTTACTTTATTAATATGGGTATTTTGTGTACAAATATGTCTACATAAATGTATGGCATGCTTGGTGCTAGCAGAAACTAGAGGAAGGCACCAGATACCCTGAAACTGAAGTTACAGACCACTGTGAGCCACCATGTGTGTGCTGGGAACCAAACCTAGGTCCTCTGAAAGAGCAACCAATGCTCTTAACTTATGAGCCATCTCTCCAGCCTTGTTTTCACTTTCTCTTTTTTTTCTTTACTTATTTAGTACCTTTTTTTGAAGACTAGGCTTCTCTGTGTAACAGCCCTGGCAATCCTAGAAATTGCTTTGTAGACCAGGCTGACCTTGAACTCAGAACTCAGAAATCCACCTGCCTCTGCCTCCTGAGTGCTGGAATAAAGGTGTGATGCCACCACTGCCCAGCATAGCTTTTTCTTTTTAAATTTTTACTAAGTTTTTTTTTTTTGGTAAGGTTTTTTTTTTTTTTCTATAGCTCAGGGTGGCTTCAGACTTTGAATGCTGTCTCAGCTTCCAAACCCTGGGATCAAAGTGTCTACTTTAGCCACAGCTGTCAAATTTATCTTTCTGAAGTGTGTGTTTCAGTTGTTTTAAGTTCTTTTAGTTGTGTACTTATTTAATTCCAGACATTTTTATATAGTAACATGCACTAAACACTGATTTTTTTTTTTTTCATGTGTCATGTGGAGACCAGAGGTTGATGTCAGGATTCTTTCTCATTTTGTTATTTTTTTTTTTCTAACTGAAGATCTATTGCTGAACTTGAAATCTACCAATTTGGCTAGTCTGCCTAGCAAACTTGTCCTAGGATCCACCATCTATCTCTTGAGGATCTGGACACTTTATCTACTGAGCCATTTCCCCTAGACTCCTTAAACATTTTTCATGTATCCATGAATGGAGCTATTCATTACCCATCCTACCCCCACTCCATATCACTCCCTAGCAACCAGTAATTACTTTCCTCATTGATTTGCCTATTCTGCATATTTCACATAAGTGGAATCATATAACATGAGGCCCTTTGTATCTAACTTCTTCCACTTAACATGTTTTTAAGATTTTATGTTAGAGCATGTATCCTTGCGTTATTACTTTACTGGCACAATAATTTGTGTTTTTAGATATGCCACATTTGTATTGAATCTGTTCATGAATTGATCAACATTAAGGTTGTTACTTTTTAGCTATTAATAATGTTGCTATGAACATTTCTGTACTTTATAATTTAATTTTTCTTATCTAAATGGGAGTAGAATTGCTGGTGATCTAACCATGTCTGACATTTAAAGGAAGTACTCAACCGTCTTCTACAATGGCTGCACCATTTTATCTTCCTGCCAGCAATATGTGTATAAAACTTATTTAAGCAAATAATGCATGAATTTGTTCCCAATAAAACATCATCGTAGAGCAGTCCCAGAACCCTTCGACCTACTCTACTCTAGTTAGCTTCTATATTTTGTGTAGAAGAAATAATTGTTTCCAGCTTAACATGTATTTTCCTGAATATTTCAGAAATTTTCAGTTTACACAGGCAGTGTGCTCCTACAGTTCTAGCTGCTCAGCTCAGGAGACTGATGAGCCCTAGGAGAGAGAGAGAGAGAGAGAGAGAGAGAGAGAGAGAGAGAGAGAGAGAGAAAGAGAGAAGGAGGGAGGGCAGAAGGAGAGTTCTCGATATAGGGAGTAGCATTAATAGTCTCCCTATATTAATGCAGTGTTCCAGAGAAACACAAGGTGTCTATTCTCCTCTAACTGCAGAATGTTTCACTATTTAAAAGTTTTATTAGTAAAAATATTGTCAGACAAGATCAAGCATATGAGCTGAACGTTTATTATCCTGGATGGGTGTGGTAGTGCACACTAGTTATCCTAGTACTTAGGAGACTGAATCAAGGAAGTTGGAGGTAAAGGTCTGTAGTAAAAAGGTGCAGTGGGCCACTTCCTGCCGCCCAGCTAGCTTTACCCCAAATAACAACACGGAAACTATATTCATTTAAACACTGCTTGGCCTCCTTATTGGCTAACTCTTACATATTTGTTTAACCCATAATGTGTATTGCCACTTGACTGTGGCTTACTGGCATGAGTCTAACCAGCGTCCGTCTTGGAGAGGAGAGCCATGGCATCTGCCACACTGCCTTCTTCCTCCCAGAATTCTGTTCTGTCTACTCCACCCACCTAAGGACTGGCCTATCAAAAGGCCAAGACAGCTTCTTTATTTAACCAATGAAAGTAACACATCGAAGACCCTCCTACACCAAAGGTCATCTTGAACTACTCAGTGAAGCTAGAGGAAAGCTACAGGCTGAGATGGAAGCTTGATGGTAGCACATTGGTTTAGCATGCACAATGTCCTACGTGGATTTGATCTCTAACACTGTATTTAAAAAGTTGAATGCTCTCTTTGTTGCTTTGAGAATGGCAGGTATTGGGCTTTTATTTAATGAAACAGTAGCCATAAAACTACTATTTTCTTACCCTAGTGCTTGGCTGTCTGGCTATGAAGACCCTGTGGTATCTAGAATTAATATGAGAATACAAGATCTCACAGGACTAGATGTTTCCACAGCAGAAGAATTACAGGTAAGCTACCACCGTTTCTTACAGTTATTTCCACTTCTTCAAGAGGCTCCTCCTGTTAGATTTCCTGGCACTGAACAACAGGCAGTGCTTGCCTTGTGTAATACCTGAGGACTGTAAGTCCTAGCTTTCAAAGACCTTAATAATCCACTGCAGAAATTGAAAATGAAAGATATATGTATTACTATATATAGTAGTAAGCATACTCTTACCTTTCACATTTTCAAATTACATTTATTTTATCATGGTAAAAGCATGCAAATATATATGCTTTGGGTCCTCAGGATTGGGCTCCAGTTATTAGACTTGGTGGCAGGTGCCTTTACCACTGAGCCATCCCACTAGTCCTAATTTTTCTTGATAATTTCTAGACCCATTCTGTTTGTTGAGTGGCTGGGGTAAATTTGGCTTTTTAAAAGGTATTTAAATTGACATATAATTTGTGTGTCATACAGTTTACCTTGGTTTAGGTATATTTACTTGGTTATAACCTCACCTCATCACCATGATTGAGTTTCAGATATTTCCATCACCCTAGCAAGAACTGTCCCCATGCCCTGAGCAGTAACTTCCTATTCTACTTCCCAAGCCCCTGGCAACCACTAGCTACTTTGTGCTTCTATGAATATACTTATTCTGGATATTTTATATATAGGAATTACTTAATGTGTGGCTTTTATGTCAGTTTTTTTTTTTTTTTTGACTAAGCATTATGTTTGGACGCAGAACCTCAGCCATGCTATACAGACTCTGGGTCCTTGAGTGGTAATATTAATAGTTCTTATTCATGTTTTGTTTCTTTCCTTCAGGTAGCAAATTATGGAGTTGGAGGACAATATGAACCCCATTTTGACTTTGCGCGGGTATGTGAAACTGTAACTAATCCACTTAAGTTTAGGTACTCCATGTTTAAAGACATCTTCACAACACTTGCTTAAAACAGGTAGACTTTACTGGGGGAGTGGGCAGGGTACAACTGTAGTGAGGATTCAGTGAGTGTCTAAGCTCCACTCCAGTTTATGGGGCCGGAGCAGTACCTAGAAGATAACTGAGTAGTAATTGGGCTATCTCACTGAAGTAGGGACAGGAGCCTGAAGAGAGGTGAGATACTGAGGGTGGGAGATAAGCAAGCAACCTGCTCTGAAACCGGGCCCAGCTGAGGAGGGAGCTCAGAGGAACTTCGTTAGGTGTGGTCAGGAAGAATACCTTTGTCAATTCTGTCCGCTTATAAAAACCCATTTCTTGCTTGGAAGTTGTGCCAGGAGATCCTGGGAAATCTGCAGAAAACAACAACAAAACCACTCAAAAAAGACATTCCGTTCAATGCATTGGTGAGCCTGGAAGAAGGGAAAGACTGTTCCCACAGACACACTGGACAGTGGGGATGAGGTGTCCAGCAGCACTACTGTCAGGACTGGAGCTAACTCAGGTTACTAGCCTGATGTTTGCCATAACCCTCTAGTCAGGAAGAGAAAGAGTGGCTTGAAAGAGAGGGGAGCTGTTCTCTGGGACTTTTACTAGGGCGTAGACGAGAAGGATTGAAGTTGCTCAGTTTGGTAATGTTCATCAGTGTGGCAGAAGCAAGCTTATACACCCTGCAAAAAAAGAACTGAGTCGATAAGGTGCAGCCCGACGACTGTAGCAAGCAACAGGCAGACACTGAATACTCTATACTGTATGTGAGGGCCTTAAGCGATAGGGGCAGCAAAAATTTGAAAAATAAGCAAAGGGAAATTCTAAATAGAAAAATGTTAACTTTTGGAAAAATGAGAGATAAATGAATTGAATTGGGCAATAGGTATGAAACAGAAGGCCTTGAGAATGAGAGACAGACTGGGAGCTGAGCCAACACTAAAGTGTGTCGTTATCAAATCTTCATTTAATCAGGTCTCACCACAATCACTGACACTTGAACACTGTGCCGTGTGATTCCACAAGCTCCTCTTCACTCTTCAGGGTAGAGTGTCCTGGAGCAGCTCCTTTACTGGCTTATCTCAGGTCCCAGTGTGCTTTTTCTGGGGACTCCTGCAAAAATAACACTTTTGTTTCTTCCTCTTAATCCTGATACTAAAACATTTCAGGGCTTTTGGTGATGTCAGGCCCCACATTACAAAACTAAAACATACCATTTTGAGATAATCGTTGATTGCTAGAAAGTAGCAAATAAATTTATGAGACCCTTGTGCACCTTCCCCACCCTAGGGCTGATGTCTGTATAACTGCAGCACAGCACCAGCCAGGAGTGTGCTGTCGGTGTGCTCACAGTGCTCAGTACCTCTGAGCTGGCTCTGCACTCTAATGCATGTGACTTAGTGTAATTCCTGTCACGTTCAAGGCATCTCACTACATCACAAGCCTCCCTGCAGTACTGTTCTCCTACTACACAGCCCCTTCCTTCCCCGGTCCTGTATTTCTGCTAACACCATTATAGAACACACTACTGATTCACTCAGAAGACAGGTCTGGAGTTTGGAGTAATTGTCCCAAAAGTCTCCAGTGTGTGGGCTGAGTGTTTGGGCACAGAACACTGGCCGTATATTTGAAATGTGTTCTTTACTTACTCCCTTATGTTTACTGCTTTATCCACAGAAAGATGAGCCAGATGCTTTCAGAGAGCTTGGGACAGGAAATAGAATCGCTACATGGCTGTTCTATGTAAGTTACAACTACATTTCATGACTCCTTGATTTTTTTTTGATATGTTGTATGATGTTGATTTGGTACCACTCCTATTGACTACATAGTGCCTTCAAAGCCAACCTGGATCTCAAAATAGAAAAGGTGCTGGGGGTGTGTCTCTATGATTTGTCTAGCATGCAGGAAGGCCTGGGTTTGATTTCTAGCATGTCACAAACCAGGCTTGGGGAAGTATGCTTGCAGTCCTAGTACTTGGAAGGCAGAAGGATCAAGGCCATCCTTGGGTATTTAGGATAGTGAGTTTGAGGCCAGCATTGACTATGAGACCTTGTCTCAAAGTGGAAGGGGGGGGGTGTTCTTTAAAAATTATTACCTGGTGGTGGTGATGCGTGCCTTTAATCCCAGCATTCAGGAGGCAGAGGCTGGTAGATCTCTGTGAATTCAAGGCCAGCCTGATCTACAGAGTACCAGGGCAGCCAGGGCTACACAGAGAAACCCTGTCTTGAAGGACAAAACCAAACAACAACAACAAAATTATTGACAGTCCCAGTACTTGGAGATGTTCAGTATTTTAGAATGTTTACACATATACATTCTCTACATGTGCACTTTATAATGTGCAGCTTTATGGTTTTCACAGACTGAGCATGTCTGCTAATCAGCACTCAGACTAGGGCATAGCACAGAACGAGAGAGTGAAAGAGAGGGTGGGAGTGAAACTCAGGGCAGAGCTACATGCACAACTCCAGAATTAATATTTATTCCACTTCCTCCAACTTTTCTGTTATGTAACAGATCACCTCCAAATGATTTTTCCTTCAGTGGGGGAAAGGGGTCAAACCTATGGTCTCATGCATGTTCTGAATGGTTTTAAATAACAGTCATTCATTATTTCCTCCTATAGCAGAGGTGTTGACTGGGTTTAACATCACAATGCCTGTTGAGATCGCTCATGCAGCTGCATTCATTTGTCTAGCACTTGGCTCTTTTGGAAGGCTTAGGCAGACGGGTCTCTGTGGGCCACCTTACATCTTGCAAATCCCCAGTCTCCCAAAAAGAAAACATGGACATATTTTTACAGCCTGTTTTTAGAAATCATACAGTGTCCCTTTTTCTGTTTTTAAATCACACCTGCCAGGGAAGCACTCCACCTCTGAACCACACTCTCAGTTCTGCCCAGCTTCAGGATGAGGGGCGTGGGCTCGCACCATGTCACAGTCACTTAAAAAGATTGAGCTGTAGCCCAAAGTCCTGGCTGGGTCTTGAGCACTGAGAAAAACAAAACATGTAGTTCAGACGTTACTACATTAGAAAATAAAATTTGCTAGTGGTGTAGTCCTTAGTTTTAAAATATGTGGTTGGCCTGGTGGTGGTGGCGCATGCCTTTATTTAATCCCAACACTTGGGAGGCAGAGGCAGGCAGATCTCTGTGAGTTCGAGGCCAGCCTGGTCTATAGAGCTTGTTCTAGGACATGCTCCAAAGCTACAGAGAAACCCTGTCTCGGGAATGAATGAATGGTTTAGCAGGGCATGGTGGCACAATGTTTTTAAGTCACTTGTTTTAGAGGTGGCATATACATCCCATAGTTGGGCTGTTTGGTATCTTCTGCCTGTGGTGGTGTTTAAAAATCTTCACTAGGATGGATTTCCTTGGTGTGTGAACTTTTTCAGTTAATTAAGGTTTGTGTTTTTGTTCTAGGCTACCTTTATAATAACTATAAATTCTTTAATCTTGTGATTTTTTTTCATTTAAATTTTACCTGAAAGTAATTGTTTCCCTTGCAGATGAGTGATGTGTCTGCCGGAGGAGCCACTGTGTTTCCTGAAGTGGGGGCTAGTGTTTGGCCCAAAAAAGTAAGCTCACTTGGTGTGTGGGGCTTGGTCTTGTTGGGTATTTTTCTCCTGAAGTAGAGTTGCACCTGCAGTTTGTGGCCTAGGAAATGAGTTACATTTTCTTTTATTTATTTTTATTTTATTGATCTTTTTCTATATATGTGTGTTAGATTCTAGAGTTACAGACAGTTGTGAGCTGCCATGTGGGTGCTGGGAACTGAACTTGGGTCCCCTGGACTACATTCATGTCAAAGTAAAGGTTGGGTGAGGAACAAGTGTGATAGCTGAGTTCTAATTCCCAAGATTTGATTTCATGTAATTCTCTCCATATTACCCTGTGCTCACTCTGTAGACCAGGCTGGTCTCGAACTCAGAGATCTGCCTGCCTCCACCTTCTGAGTGCTGGGATTAAAGGCGTGCGCCACCATGCCTGACACAAACACTCTTGTCATCCACCCTTATGATAACTCCCATATAATCAAGAAAACGCCTCAAAGCCATAGACTCACAGAATTAGTGAACAGTATAAGCTACTGTAGAAGGAGCAGGAAATGTAAGTGCCATGAAAAGTGAAAACCTAGCGTTTTATTTAATGATAATTTTGAATTGTTCTCCACAGGGCACCGCTGTCTTCTGGTATAATCTGTTTGCCAGTGGAGAAGGAGATTACAGTACACGGCATGCAGCCTGTCCCGTGCTAGTTGGAAACAAATGGGGTAAATAGTTCCTGTATTCTCTGCTTAGAAACTTTATAACCTGCACCTTAAAACAAAATGCCTCCTCTCATGATTTGCCATCTGACTTCTTGTATAGGATCCAGCTAAGCCTGCCCCTGTTCTGAGTATAAATTTGCATCCCATAGATAAGCATTTTTGTGAGATTATCTTTGAGGGTGGGTGCTCTATTTCACTTAGTTTTCCAGAATCATTAGATTAGTTGACTCCCAAGTTGAAAAGTTAGAACCTTGCCTTCAAAAGGTCACAGTCTGAGAGTGTGAACTGATGGGTATTCAGAATGTGGCAGAGCGTAGACCACACATTCTTAATTTAATTTTTGTTTCCTCAGCACATAAGGTACTTTTTAGGTATGTTAAGTTCCAGAAAAGATTTGGGCTAAAACTCAGGCAGCATCTGGCTTCAGTGCAGTATTTAAGAGGCCTTCCTCTCAGACCGTGCAGGTATAGGATTGCCTCCATTAACAACTAAAATAGGAAACGAAACAAGATTAATACATATTAATCCAGTGTGTACATTACAGTATGTCAGTGGCCACATTTCAAATGCTCACAATCTACATGTGTCCATTGGTTAGATCCATTGTAAGGAGGCCTGGTCGGAGGACCTTACAATCCCCTCACTGAAAATGGTGCTTGGGAACTGCTGGACCACAGTGAGCACAGGCTGGCTGGGAAGGACACAGCTCTAAAGGCTCTTCTCCATCATGTGAGTGCTCTAAAGCAGCAGCAAAGGATTTTGACTCAAAGATAAAAGAAAAAAATGGCCAACTGATGAATGAAGACTGGGTACCAGGGAGGTGACAGTAACCAGTGTAGACAACCTAGTTCAAAAATTTCGTCCAAGTCAGTGACATTGACTTACTCTGTAATACCAGAAATGGGGTAAAAAATTGGGGAGAAGAAATCCTTTTATATATATATATATCCCCTATCAAAATCCCAGCAAAATTCTCCAAGGATCTCAAAACAATGGTACTCAACTTCATATAGGAAAACAAAAAGCACAGGATAGCCAAAACTACCCTGTACAATAAAAGAACTTCTGGAGGCATCACAATCCCCGACTTCAAACTACTACAGAGCTACAGTACTGAAAACAGCCTGGTATTGGCATAAAAACAGACAGGAGGACCAATGGAACCGAATAGAAGACCCAGATATCAATCCAGACATCTTTGAACACCTGATTTTACATAAAGAAGCAAAAAAATACCAGATCGAAAAAAGAAAGCATATTTAACAAGTGGTGCTGGCATAACTGGATATATCAACATGGAGAAGAATGAAAATAGACCCATATCTATCACCATGCACAAAACTCAAGTCCAAATGGATCAAAGACCTCAACATAAAGCCAGCCACACTGAACCTCATAGAAGAGAAAGTGGGAAGTACACTTGAACACATTGGCACAGGAGACCACCTCCTAAATATAACCCCGGCAGCACAGACACCGAGAGAAACAATAAATGGGACCTCTTGAAACTGAAAAGCTTCTGTAAAGTAAAGGACATGGTCAACAAGACAAAATGACAGCCTACAGAATGGGAAAAGATCTTCACTAACCCCACATCAGACAGAGGGCTGATCTCCAAATTATATAATGAACTCAAGAAATTGGTCATCAAAAGAACAAATAATCCAATAAAAAAAATGGAGTACAGATCTAAATAGATATCTCTCAACAGAGGAATCTCTAAAATGGCTGAAAGACACTTAAGGAAATGTTCAACATCCTTCGTCATCAGAGAAATGCAAATCAAAACAACTCTGAGATTCCATCTTACACCTGTAAGAATGGCCAAGATCAAAAACACTGATAACAACTTATGCTGGAGAGGATGTGGGGAAAAGGGAACACTTCTGCATTGCTGGTGGGAATGCAAGCTGGTACAACCCCCCCACCTTTGGATGTCAGTGTGATTTCCCAGAAAATTAGGAAACAACCTTCCTCAAGACCCAGCAATACCACTTTTGGGTATATATCCAAAGGATGCTCAATTGTGCCACAAGGACATGTGCTCAACTATGTTCATAGCAGCTTTGTTGTCATAGCCAGAACCTGGAAACAACCTTAATGCCCCTCGATCGAAGAATGGATAAGAAAAATGTGGTACATTTACACAATGGAGTACTACACAGCAGAAAAAAATAACGACATCTTGAATTTTGCAGGAAAGTGGATGGAGCTAGAAAACATTATTTTGAGTGAGGTTACCCAGACACAGAAAGACAATTATCACATGTACTCACTCATAGGTGGTTTTAAACATAAAGCAAAGAAAACCAGCCTACAAACCACAATCCCAGAGAATTTAGACAACAATGAGGACACTAAGAGAGACTTACATAGATCTAATCTACATGGGAAGTAGAAAGTAGAAAAAGACAAGATCTCTTGAATAAATTGAGAGAGCATGGGGACCTTCGGGGAGGATTGAAAGGGGGAGGGGCGAGGTAGGGAAGGGAGCAGAGAAAAATGTAGAGCTCAATAAATATCAATTAAAAATGTATATAAAAGAACACACACATATATATTGTATATATAATAGCTGTAATGGTGCATGCCTTTAATCCCAGCATTCAGGAGGTAGAATTGGGCAAATCTTTGAGTTCAAGGATAACCTGTCTGGTGTACAGAGTGGATTCCAGAGTAGTCAGGGCTACGCAGAAAAGCCCATCTCAAAAACCAAAACATCCTGTAACTAAGACAACCGACTGAGGATGTGATAGCATCAGCTGATCAGAGGACTGTGTTCGCTGCACTGTTTGGATTTCAGAGGCAGTACTTGGAGTAGGAAAGTGTTATGTTCCTTCATGTTGTTCCGCTTGCAGCTCATTTAAGCCTCATCAGGGATACATACATGAAATCTGATTTTTCCAACATTGTCAAGTTTATCTGGGTTTTAATCTTAAGCTTTTAACCCATGCTGAAACTGTTCTAGACGAGCTTTCAGATGAGAAGAAAATTCTCATTTTTTTTTCTCCTCACAGTATCCAACAAGTGGCTGCATGAACGTGGACAGGAATTCCGAAGGCCGTGCACCCTGTCAGAACTGGAATGACAGACCAACTCTCCTCGCTCCTGTTGTCCTCTAATGCGCCCGGCACAATCACTGATAACTTTCAGACGTTTACAGCTGACTAACACTCCATGGTTAACTCGGTCATGAACTTCGTCCTGTGTTTTGTCTATGGACAATCACTTATTATATGGGTTTTTTGTTTTTTAATTAACACTCAGTCACCACATTATGTAAAATTTTACAGTTCATTATCACAGAGTACAGGACATTTAAAATGAGGAATCCTAATTCTGTTGTTTAAAAGCTTTTTGGTTAGATTAAAAAAACAAAACATCCAATTGTAGATTTCAGTGCATTTGCGTAGATGGTGGGCCCATGGGGTGCAGGGGCCTGTCCGCCTGTTCTTCCTTCGCTGGAGTGTGAGGGCTTTGCCTCCATCTATTAGTCCACATTCCTATTTCTTATTAGTTAAAGAAACTGTATTTTTACCAAATCTCCCTCCTCAACAGTGGTGAATTCAATTGGTTTGAGAAAATTACTTTGTTCCAAAAGTTTTGTGTAGCCCAGCTGCCCTACAACTACAGTGCTCAGACTTAGACTTTTTCCTCAATGACTGATGGTGTCCAGAGACTTGCTGTTCCAAGTGCCAAGACCCTGCTTGTGTTCCTCCTCTAGCAGGTGGTGGTGTTGGCATTCTGATTAAATACTGTGCCTTAGAAGACAGGGCGTTCCAGGTCCTTGTAATGACGAGTGAGGGAGTTGATTTTAAAAAAAGAAATCTGTTTTATAAAAGCCAAAATGTTTTTTCTTTCTGAAACGTGTTATAACAGTGACCTATTTATGATCTTAAATCTTTTTTAAAAAAATGTTTCTGTGTGGTATTTTTCATGTAAAATAACACTGCTCACAGGTATGTTACTTCTTTACTACATAGAGCTACAGTTTAGTATTTGTGGTTAGACTTTTAGTCATTCAAAACATGTTTCTTTGGGGTATAGCTTGCCTGACCCACTTCAGACTCTTATGAGACACTAGGAAAAGTGTCCTTTCTTCAGAGACAGTCATGCTTTGATTATGAGTTGTTACAATACTGATACTTATACACTTTCTCTTATTCAAAAGCCTGGTTGTGGTCTTGATGTATATGAGGAAATTCTTTTTTCACCCAGGGCTCTGGCTCTTTCTTTTCAATTCTCTGGGAAAGTAGGGATTAAAATGAACTGTTCCATCACAAAGATTTTAACAAAAAAACAAGTTCAGTGCTTTAAATTGATTTTAGAGGCTTTAAAAACAGGATGGAGCCGGGTGGTGGTGGCACACGTCTTTAATCCCAGCACTTGGGAGGCAGAGGCAGGCAGATCTCTGTGAGTTCGAGGCCAGCCTGATCTTCACAGCGAGTTCTAGGACAGGCTCCAAAGCTACAGAGAAACCTTGTCTCGGAAACAGACAAAAATAGGATGGGTATGGTGGTCCACATCTTTGGTTCCAGTACTTGGGAGACAAAGGCAGAAAGATCTCTGAGTTCAAAAACAGCATGGTCTACATAGTAAGTTCTAGGTCAGCCAGGGCTACATTGAGAGATCTTACCTCAAAGACAGATAAACAGAACAACTTCTTTTAGGCTGGTGGTATAGTTCAAACAGAGTAACACGTGTGAGCCTTTGGGTCCCATTCCGCTACTAAAACCCCACACCGGTTAGCATGGAGCAACAAGTAAAATAGGGATTTCAAGGCCAGAAAGTAGGTTTGTCGTGAAGTGTTAGCAACCAGCTGATGAATTAGGAAGGTAACAATATATACATTTAAAAGGAAATCATGCATCTTGTATAAGAACTTTATAAGCTGTGTGGGCCTGACCTGCCTGATGTTCCGCTGAGAACATCTGGTAGTTAGAAAGGTGCCCTTGGCGGGAGTGCAGCTTGCAGTCTTGGGTGACTGGGGCCAGTGGCTGCTCCCTAACTAGAAAACCACAGGGTTCATGAGGAAAAGGGGCTAGTAGTTGAAACCAGGAATGGCCTGTACACGCGTGGGGAGACACTCAGCCTCGCTGCTCCTTTAAGGAAGTCAGCAGTGTGAACAGGATTCCTGTCAGGAAAATAAAGTGTGCCTAGGATGTATGAAGACGTTAGTGTGTAAAAGTTCTTCAGAACCTGTGGAGTTTCTGTTTCTGGGTAGGGAATGAAGCAACAAGTTGCCGTGTACACCCGGGCTCATGACAGTATCATTTGTAGTCACCATAAAATGGAAGCAACCTAAGTACAGAAATAGATGAGTGGGGGAAAGGTGGCATATACATTAGGAAAATATTCGAGCCAAAAAAAGAAATTCCAACACACGCTCAACATGGTTGAAGCTTGGCGAAGTAAGCCACACAGATGCTCTCGGCCACTCACGTGATACCTAGAGTAATCGAATGCCAGGGATGTACAGGTTGCCTGGGTGGAGAGGAGACACTTGGGACTTAGTATTTATTGGGTGTTTTGCCAACAATACACTTAATGTGATCTAAATATACTCTTTGATTTTAGACTTATTTTGTATGCATGAGTGTTTTGCCTGCATGTATGTATACCACATGTGAACTTGGTACCCTCAGAAATCAGACAAGGCCATTGGACCCTCTAGAACCAGTTATGGTTGTTTGGTAACCATCATGTAAGTGCTGGAGTTGAACTCTGGTCCAAAAAAATGTTCTGAAACCTGTGAGCCAAGCCATGTCTCCAGCCCCTAAAAGCACTCTTAAAGGTAAACGTGTCAGAGTTGTAGCTCAGTGGTCGAGCATGCCCACGGTCCTGGGTTCAATCCTCAGCCTTCTCCAAAAAAGAACAAAAGCAGTATCATATTTTAAATGTTTTACAACAGTTAACGTTCCAGTTCTTCTAAGCCCTCCAAATTGAAAGCAAGGGCATCTGTACACCTGTGCTTCTATTTATAGCCGCAGCATTCATGGTGGCCAAAGGTGGAAGCAACCCCTTTGAGTATATATCTACAGCTGAACGGATGAGCAAAGGTAAAAACAGAGATGGGTTTAAAAATTCATCTGGAATTATAGAGCTCAAGAGAATTGACAAACATTGAAAATTAGCAGAGAATCCCAAAGCAAGACTAAGGGATGAGAACAGCTTTTAAAGAAAAAAAAAAAGTAAGTCAGGCATGGTGCTACTCACCTTTAGTTACAACACTCAAGGGAGAGACAGATACACTCTTTGAAGCCAGCCCTGTCTACATAGTGAGAGACTGCTTCGAATTCAAGACTTTTTTTTAAAAAAAAACTGTTTAACACTACAGTTTAAAAACAGATAACTACATATCTGAGAACAGACTCAGAATGGCCATGAATACACTTGTAAATTCACCAGATCTTAAAGATACTGAAAACTGGTTGAATAAATGAACCTTGCGACTTAGAAGAGGAAATTAGATTATAAAGCCTTGGCAGCAACACTTGCATAGAACAAGAATATTCTTAGTACCGGCAGGGGTGATGGCTCAAGACTGGAGTTTGAAACCCCAGAATTCACATCAATGTCAGGTGGGCATGACAGCCCTCTTGAAAGATGGAGATGGAACCCCCAGAACAACCCAGCAGTCTGAATTGCTGAATTCCAGGTCCCTGAAAACAGCCATCTGGGAATACGCCCAGTACCAGTTTCTGACCTCCACATATGTATACCTAGGCACCTGCTCATGTAAGTGCATAAACACGCAAAAGATCTATATCCACTCAGCACAGACAAATCTGTCAACACACTGGAAATATGACATGTCAAATCCTTTTTCCAAGGAATCTCCGAGAAGACAAGCTGTGACCTCTAGAATAGACAGTGACTATGTGGGGTTTATACCAAATCTGTGGGTATCCACAATGGATTGTATCATTTAGTGTTTGTGATTGTTGTTATTTTAATGATTTTTCTTTTATTCTAGAAAGGGCTTCTCTGTGTAGTCCTGGCTGTCCTGGAGCTCACTTTATAGACCAGACTGACCTTGAACTTGAACATCTTCCTGCCTCTGCCTCCCTAGTGCTGGGATTAAAGGTGTGCGCCACCAAAGAATGTCCTTCAGGGTGCCGCTCAGGCCAGCTTCACGCTTATGATGCCCCCGGCTCTGGGGCTGATTGTGGGCCTGTGCTATCATGTTCAGCTGCTGCTGGTGAGTTAAATCTGTAGTGTCGTGTTAAAGTACAGAAGACACCCAAAGCCAGTAGAACAGGAAAACCTTAGGAGAACGTTGTTAGAAGAAAGAAGTCATTTTCCACTCTACAAAACTAGCCAGAACATACGCGGGATTTTATTGTACAGTATAGATGAGAAAAGTTGTAATCACCAAGAATAGGTTTGAAATGTCCAGACCAATCAAATCTATACAGAGAAAAAACAGGGATTGGGACGAGTGTAGGCCCGGTAGCTAAGGGATTATGTTTTCTTCAGCTGGTCGTGAAAACATTTCTAAGTTGTGCAAACCAGGGGTGCTGTAGCCAGAAGGATCAGAAATTTAAGGTTTCCTTTTACATAGTGAGTTAGAGGCTAGCCTGGAAAACAGTAACTATTGGGTGAAAATGTTCTAAGTTGTGATGACTGCAACCCGGTGGCTAAGCCGCTGAGTGAGAACCAGAGTGTTTAAGAACTGTATAAGACACACACATCAGGTTAGTGAGCTGGACGGTATGAAATAATGTATCTCAAAGCTGTTTCTAAAAAGCTAGCAAGACATCAGAAATGAAACGTAAGTTCGGCCAACTGTAGAGAACTTTGAAGAAGCCCAAACCGACACGGATAGAAATGGTTGAGTCTCCAGCTGAGCTAACACAAGCAAACTGCCAGCTACAGAGCTTGAAAGATTAATGGTGGATTACTAACCCCTTCGTGACTATTTGGACAGATTGTGCAGGTAACAAATCACCAAAATCTCAAGAAAATTCTGAATAGCCCCATTATTGAGTAAAGAAATTAAGGACTTAATTTTTTTTTTTTTAACCAAAAAGCAATGCAGAGTTCTTGATGGCATCACCAATCTCTGCCGTGTTAAGGAATACCCTCCACAAATGGCTTCAGAAAATGCATGATTTCCAGCTCACTTTAAGAAACATTGGTCGAGCGGTGGTGGCACATGACTTTAATCCCAGCACTCGGGGAGGCAGAGGCAGGCGGATCTCTGTGAGCTAGAGGCCAGCCTGGTCTAAAGAACGAGTTCCAGGACAGTCAGGGCTACAAAGAAACCCTGTCTCAGACTCACCCCCTCCCCCTGCACACAAGCAAAAACAGAAAAATTGGCCCTCATCTCCAACCAGACTTAAAGTATAAGGAAGAAACGATCCGTATCTCCTAGGAACACAGATACAAAATACTTTTGCTTCTAACCAAAAATAAGGGGGAAATTAATGTTTAAGTGAAAAAGTTTACTGAAATATGCTTAACTGTACACCAAGTTCACTTCAACAAATCACAAAGCTGGGGCCAGCAAGATGGCTCTGTGGGTGGAGGAACTTGCTGTTAAGCCTGACTACCAGAGTTTAGTCGCAGGAGTTCACAGGGTGGGAAAGACTGACTCCCACAAACTGTACTGTGACTTCATACACAGGCTGTGGCACGCGCGCGCACACACACATGCACACACACACACAGAAGTAAATGCAATAAAAAATGGCAAAGTCATGTCAGATTCTACCTGAGTAATTCATCATATTAGCATGTTAAAGGAGGAGAAAAGAAATGTGCTCATTTCAAAAGATGAGAGGATGCATATAGCAAATCTCAGAACTGCTGATGTGGTTTTTTTTAAGTGTCTGTGATCCTTGGCACAGGTAGAGCTCACCCCAGGATCAAGGTCAGCCTGTGCTCCTTAGCGGGTTT